AAAACCTTATACATGAATGTTTATAGTAGCATTATTTATAATAGCCAAAAAGTGAAAACCACCAAAATGTCTATTGACTATCAAATGGATAAACAAATGATATATCCACACAATGGAATATTATTTGCCCATAAAAAGGAATGATATGGTACATGCAACAACATGGATAAATCTAAGACATTATGTGCAGTTAAAGAAGCCAGTCACAAAAGACCATATGTGATTCCATTCATATGAAAATCCAGAATAGGGAAATCTACATAGAGAGTGGATAAGTGGTTGCTTAGGGCTAGGGAGAAAGGAGGGTAGGGAATGGGGAGATGGGAAAGTAACAGCTAAAGGGTACAGGGTTTCTTTTTGAGGTGATGAAATGTTGTAATTTTATTGACGATGGTTGTATGTATCTCTAAATAGAATATAAACCACTGCACTGCACACTTTAAAACATTGTTATATTTACATGATGAATCACTAAATTCTATTCCTGAAACCAACACTACACTATGTTAACTAACTTGAATTTAAATAAAAACTTGGAAGAAAAAAAAAAGGTTAATTGTATGGTAGGCAAATTATGTCGATAAAATGTTTGCTTGTGTTCAAATCAATAGATTTTCTAACTTCTGAGAATCATCTTCCAGTTTCATACTATCATTGCTCCTATTCCCTCACTGTACATTGTGTACAAGTAAAAGATTTTGTAAAAATTCAATTAACAACTGGCCAGGTACATCCAATTTGTAAATAAATGGATTTCAGAAGTAATTCTCTCAAAATACAGACAATATGACTGAAATATTTTCTTTTTTTTTTTTTAAAGATTTTATTTATTTATTTGACAGCGAGAGAGGGAACACAAGCAGGGGGAGTGGGAGAGGGAGAAGCAGGCTTCCCGCGGAGCAGGGAGCCGGATGCGGGGCTCAATCCCAGGACCCTGGGACCATGACCTGAGCCAAAGGCAGACGCTTAACGACTGAGCCACCCAGGCGCCCCTGACTGAAATATTTTCTAAATGCATGTCAGTAGGCACTATCCCTGTACCTCAGTTTACTGAATCTCTTTTAAGTATACAAATAGTTGAATTCTACACCACAAGGAATCTCAAGCAGCTCACTGCCCCTCTAAGGGACTCAGCTTCCCTAGGCCATCCTCCCTAAAAAGTAATTCTGGCCTCATGCCAGTGACTTGATATCCCAAATATTACTGTAATTTTTGATAGGTTATGTGATGAGTACCATAAAAGACAGGTGCTTCCATATTCCTATGTCTTGGGTAGAACCACTAAAATGAAAATTTTCCATACTATGTTGGATGGTTACTTGGTCATACCCAATAATGCCACGCCCACAGAGAGAAAAACTCACATTGTGCAGAGATACAGCAAAAAGAAATAAACTCAAAGTCAGAACTTGATTCTAGAACAGATCTGCTATTAGAAATATGAATCTTTGGACAGAGAACTTCACTTCTCTAGAGCTCCATTTCATTACTATATAAATTATGTGGACTAAGACTCCTTTCAAGTCCAAAATCCTGTAATCCAGGCCATGAAATATTAAATCGCATAAAGACAGTTAAAACTCTAGTTTTAGATGCAAAACCAAAACAAACAAACAAACAAAACCACCCAAAAAACTAGTTACCTTCAAAAACACTAGGAAACATCTGTCTTGGAGTATTAGTACAAGTCTAAATTCAGTAAAATCAGAGAAGGAATCTTTCATAAGAATATATGTGAACTGGGGTGCTTGGGTGGCTCAGTCATTCATTTCGGCTTAGGTCATGAACTCAGAGTCCCAAGATCAAGCCCCACATCAGGCTCTGCACTCAGAACGGAGTCTGCTTGAGGATTCTCCGTCTCCCTTTCCCTCTGCCCCTCCCCACAGCTTATTCGCTCTAAAATAAATCAATCTTGGGGCATCTTGGTGTCTCAGATGGTTAAGCATTTGCCTTTGGCTCAGGTCATGATCCCAGAGTGCTGGGATTGAGCCCCACGTTGAGATCCCTGCTCAGTGCAGAGCCTGCTTCTCCCTCTCCCTCTGCCATTCCCTCCGCTTGTGCTTTATCTCTGTCAAATATCTCTCTCTATCTCTATCTCTCTGTCAAATAAATAAATAAAACCTTTAAATAAAATAAAATAAAGATTTTAAATAAAATCTTTAAAAAATAGAGACTATATGTGAGCTAATGACCAGCTAATAACCTCCTCTACTTCCCTTCTAATATCCATGACTGTCTCAACACTGGTGTCATGTAGTTAATTCGCAAACCAAATACAAGTCAAATGTAATTACAATGACTATGCCAACCAAATCTCAGAAGAAAATATTAAACATTTAATACCCACATTTACATGCACTAATGATTATAACTCAACTTATGCTTTAAATGTAGAATATGCTATAAACAATTTAAGTTCTTCAAAATTAGATGGTTTCTATTTTGGCTATTTTGTTTTTAATATTTTATATATGCGTTGGCTAATCTCAAATTATTTCTGAACTACCAACAGCTAGAAAGCAATGCTACTTTCTCATTGGTTTAAAAGTTAAGAGCATGTTAAAAATCAGATCATCTAATTCCTATACTTATTTCCTTAAGTATAAAGGTCAAAATTGTTATCTAAGAGTAAAAAAAAAAAATTGTAAAAATTGCCAACTGTAGTCTAACATAAACTATGTTCTTGTTTAGTACAGCATGAAATCAAAAGTGTGAACGGGTTTAAGCAACTGATGATTTATAACTAATGCCTTCTGATGGTCAGTTATACGGCACAGAATACTACTTTAACAGCAATTGTCTTTTCAAATATTAAGCCTACTCTTCATTTGGTTCAAATCTTGTTTTTTTAAGGAGTAGAAAAGTGAGTGTCAAATATGTGCACTTTCCAGAACTGCCAGGTTATAGATGTGTTTTTGCAGATCATATCAAAAAATGCACACCTCAATAGTAGAAAAAAATTTAAAGGCATTTGGAGTGTTCACTTAGTTGGAACTAAATTTAATGTTTTATTCAATAGGCTCATACTTGAATAATAAAGTTTCTAGGTTTCTGATATTCTCCCAATAAATATACCTATGCATTATACATATACATATATGTATAGAGGACTGTATTAGTGTACAAAAGAACACATTAAAGACATTATATAAAAAATTTTACATTTTTAATAGGAAAACAACTTTTATGACAGCGAAATAGACAAGGTAAATTTAATTTTTAATAAGAAAAATTATTGGTAATGAGAGAATTCTAATGATAAATGTACTGAATCTTTTGAAATAAACCACCTTTACAGAAAATTATTCATGTCAGACTCTATTAAAGTGCATATAAAGGAAATTTATTTTAGAATTTATACCAAAGATGCATTATGAATACATGTGTTACTCTGGTACAATAAGGCAGGAAGCCCAGCCTCAATGATAACATAACCTTGATCTTAAAATAGTCTGCCTCTTAGTATGTGCCCCATAAATGGTTTGTTCCAAAAGTTGAAAATTGTAAGCAATTTTCCCTATTGATAGCTTTATGAGTAATTCTGGTAACAAAGGAAAAAAGTCTAATTCTTATTTTGCTAATTCTCTAAAGTCATGTCAGTCTCAAAGGAAACATCTGATTACTGTTTTCAATGAAAATTAAGAGGGATATTTTCAGTTTTAAATGAGTTAAATCATAAATATTTATCATATACAAAAATAAGCAAAAGGTAAATTTTAGGGTATCTCTATGGTTTTTAATTTTAAAAACATTAAATCATTTGCAATGAAGTGATGAAAAGATTAACTTGCATAGCCGATCACGCCCAGCATGGAGCCCAACATGGGCTCGAACTCACAACCCTGAGATCAAGACCTGAGCTGAGATCAGGACTGGGACACTTAACCAACTGAGCTACCCAGGTGCCCCCACAGTTGCTTTAAGACCAATGGATGAAGCAACCTGTGCACAGAGATGCTGAATGGACAGTCAAATCTATCAATTATGTCATATAGCTTCTTATAAAAAGTCAAACTGCTATAGCTTTTTTAATGTTCACTGTTGTTCACTTTTAAAACTAACTTTTAAAACTTGCTCAATTTTAAAGCAAATATCAGCATGGAGTCCCTCACATATGCTCATTTTTCAGTGTCCTAACATAATGATTCTCCAATTTAGAGTAGTCACATATACACTGATGTTTTTATCACAATGGAAAAAAAAAGGAAGAAAAACAAATGTGGTTTCAAGACAAACAAATGTGGTTTATAAGATGGAATCCATGAAGAGGCTAGTAATGAATCCTCTGACTACAGAAAATCAGCAACAAATTGCCAATAATAATTACAGAAATCAGTTTATCGAAGTGTCATAACAGAAGGGTATGATGAATTTTTTCTAAAATGCTCATTTTTGGGGCGCCTGGGTGCTTCAGTCAGTTAAGCGTCTACCCTCAGGCTGGGTCATGATCCCAGGGTCCTGGAATCGAGTCCCACATCAAGCTCCCTGCTCAGTGGGTTGCCTGCTTCTCCCTCTCCCTCTGCTGCTCCCCCTGCTTATGTGCGCTCTTGCTCATTCTCTCAAATAAATATTTAAAAATTTTAAAAATAAAAATACTCATTCTATAATGGATCTAACATACTTATAAATTATTTATGTACTTTTATGTGAGGTTTGTTTTGTTATTAATATTTATGCTTTTCTGCTATTAGTTTTTCCTACTCTTGCATCAAAGTCTTCCCATAAATCCTTGGAAAGTCACAAATACCCCTATGGCCATGGGTAAACCTCAAAAGTGATAATTCATCAAAATGTATTTTCACCTATTTAATAAATCTGTTGTGAGGTTAATTTTTCCTAATTTATATAAAATAACCCCATTAATCTATGAAAAATAATGATCATATTGATTTTACTATGGCTCAAACCCTTAGACAAATAAATATCTCTGATTACCTGTTAATGTAAGGAAAACTGAGTAAATTTTATATTTATATTTAAACTACTGAATACCTGTAAACAAAGTAGCATTTATTAAAATAAAATACACACTTAATTTATACTAAATTCCACTCAGATTTATACAAGTTTTTTATCCTTAATTTTTAAATACACACATGATTTTTTTAAACATTATCAGTCAGGTATATACAAAAGTGAAATATGACATCCAAGCCAGAATGATTTTTAAAATAATAACCTCTATACAGCTAGAATGTACAATGTGTAAAATTCCAATAAAACAGGTATATTCTTATAGAAATGTTAGTCCTATAATACCGAGCGATATTTACAAGCAAACATGATCCAAACAGCACATGCAGATTCAGGGTAAGTAAACACTCGGACACGAACTGCCAGTCGCACCTGGTCTCCACGGCAACAGATTATTTCTTCACAGAAAGGAGACCTATAGAAGAAAGAAAATTTATTCAATTAAGAAGTGAACTTAGGTTTTATTTCTAAGTAAGTCAGTATTTAAAATAATTTTTAAAAATCCTGTCTCTGCTACCAAAAGCCCTGTGATTTTGCTTAACTTATTCAAATTATAGAATATTTCTTCAGTCTACAAATTTAAAAAATTACACTGGACAAGATCAGAAATCCTCAACTGAGAGTGCACCAAAATCAATGGGAAAATATCCCAACTACCTAGAGCTACATTTCAGACCTAATGAATCATAATCTGTGGCAAGGAAAATAATAAATCATTATAAAAGTTCCCCATGTGATTCTAAAGTCATTCCTAAATAACCAGACTAACAGACTGCTAAAATTCCTAGGTTAATAGGGCCGCCTGGGTGGCTCAGTAGGTTGTATGTCTGACTCCCGATTTCAGCTCAGGTCATGATCTCAGAGTCGTGAGATCCAGCCCCGCATCGGGCTCCATGCTCAGTGCAGAGTCTGCTTGTCCCCACTCTGCCCCCACCTTGAGCTTGCTCTCTCTCAAATAAATAAATAAATAAATAAATATCTTTAAATTCCTAAGCCAATAACAACATTTACGAATTCATAAATTCCACCTTACCGAAGACATGTGGCAAATGCACGCCTTGCATTTCTATATACAAAATGTATTGGGAACCCTTTAAATGTGTGACCATCAGGTACAGCCCTCCTTATGGCATCTTGAAATTCTTCATTGCCTGCAGATATACTCGTTGTACGTTCAAATTCATAAGAAGCCAAAGCTGGTGATAAGAGATAGGAAAGCTGGTCTTCCCAAACAGTAGTGAGACCAAGATCCTACAGCAATCAAAAGATAAAAAGGAAAGGTGAAATACACTAATGTTTTAAAAGCCAATTTTAAGTGTTTGCTATTTTAATGTATGCCAAAAGATTTTTAAAAACCTGTCATAACTTTTTAAATTTTCTATTAATTATTATAAGGACACATATATAAATAAAGGAACTACAGGTATCTGGTTTTACTTCTTAGAGAAAAAAACCCAATAAACTTTGAATACAATGATGTTAGGAAGTCTCCAAAATCTATACTTCCTTAATATCCACTAGAAAAGACTACATGGAAGAGTCCTACTATGGAAAATACAGTGCCTCTGAAATTTGAAATCATATTTTATTTAACGTTAAAGAGTTTAGTAAGATTGAATCTGCTTAATTTGATTGCCCCAACAGAAATTCAACTATAGTAGGGGAGAAAAATCAACAAATGAATTGCATGTATAATTAAACTCAAATATTTATAAAAAACATTAACTTTTAAACTGTAGAGAGATAAAAAGGTGAAAAAGACATTCTATAGGCCTTTAGGGAGCTTAAAACATGTTTCTAATGGAATGCTGAAGGCAATTATGATTTCATTTAGAACATCAAATGAACTATAGATATCTAGACACATTTTAAAAAAACATTGTTACGAACATAAAAAACTTCTCAAAATCCTAAATATTTTGATTATCATAATAGATCTCTACCATTTTCTGATTTTGTGTTCAAGGTTTTAAGTGGTTCCAAGTAACCCCAAAGGTCTATGATCATCTATCTTTTTACCCTGGCAAAAAGTAAATCTCACTGGCTGGTTTACAGGCACCACTAACTTAGTGATTAACACTAGTATCTAGCTCAGTTTTCTTCTTCTATATAAATTCTTATAATAAAATACTGGTCTTGTTTGTAAACAAGACCTAAGAAAATTAAAAGGCAGTATAAGTGATGGAAGGAAAGGGGCAGTAATGAGGGGCTTTCATTCCCAGCAGTGTAGTGAACTAGGTCCTTAAACAACCTATTGCTAATTAAGACCAAACTACAAATGCCAGATTAAATATTTTCCAAAATATACTTTTAAATGCTTTGATGAGTTGGCATGTGAGTACAGCAGATTTTAGAACCAAAACTAATAGTAACTGGGAGCCCGGAAAACATATCTGATAAGTCAGTTTGCCTTTGATGGCCTCAAGGAACATGGAAAACAGGATTCACTGAAGGTGGGGAGTCTATCAGGGAATTCGAAAAGGTGAATTAGAAATAAGTCTCGATTGGCAAAAGACCTATCCACAGAGACCTGGCAGGCCAGAAAGGACTGGCATGATATCTTCAGAGCACTAAACAAGAAAAATATGCAGCCAAGAATACTATATCCAGCTAGGCTATCATTGAAAATAGAAGGAGAAATAAAAACCTTCCAGGACAAACAAAAACTAAAGGAATTTGCAAACACAAAACCAGCCCTACAAGAAATATTGAAAGAGGTCCTCTAAGCAAAAAGAGAGCCTAAAAGCAGCACAGATCAGAAAGGAACACAGACAATATACAGTAACAGTCACCTTACAGGCAATACAATGGCACCAAATTCATACCTTTCAATAGTTACCCTGAATGTAAATGGGCTAAATGCCCCAATCAAAAGGCACCGGCTATCAGATTGGATTAAAAAACAAGACCCATCCATATGCTGTCTGCAAGAGACTCGTTTTAGACCCAAAGACACCCCCACATTGAAAGTGAGGGGGTGGAAAACCATTTACCATGCTAATGGACACCAAAAGAAAGCTGGGGTGGCAATCCTTATATCAGACAAATTCGATTTTAAAACAAAGACTGTAATAAGAGATGAAGAAGGACACTATATCCTACTTAAAGGGTCTATCCAACAAGAAGATCTAACAATTGTAAATATCTATGCCCCTAACGTGGGAGCAGCCAATTATATAAGGCAATTAATAACAAAAGCAAAGAAACACATTGACAACAATACAATAATAGTGTGGGACTTTAACACCCTCCTGACTGAAACGGACAGATCATCTAAGCAAAAGATCAACAAGGAAATACTTTAAATGAAACACTGGACCAAATGGACTTCACAGACATATTCAGAACATTCCATTCCCAAAGCAACGGAATACACATTCTTCTCTAGTGCCCATGGAACATTCTCCAGAATTGATCACATCCTAGGTCACAAATCAGGTCTCAACCGGTACCAAAAGACTGGGATCATTCCCTGCATATTTTCAGACCACAATGCTTTGAAACTAGAACTCAATCACAAGAGGAAAGTCGGAAAGAACTCAAATACATGGAGGCTAAAGAGCATCCTACTAAAGAATGAATGGGTCAACCAGGAAATTAAAGAAGAATTAAAAAAATTCCTGGAAACCAATGAAAATGAAAACAACTGTTCAAAATCTTTGGGATACAGCAAAGGCAGTCCTGAGAGGAAAGTATATAGCAATACAAGCCTTTCTCAAGAAACAACAAAGGTCTCAAATACACAACCTAACCCTACACCTAAAGGAGCTGGAGAAAGAACAGCAAAGAAAGCCTAAACCCAGCAGGAGAAGAGAAATAATAAAGATCAGAGCAGAAATCAATGAAACAGAAACCAAAAGAACAGTAGAACAGATCAACGAAACTAGGAGCTGGTTCTTTGAAAGAATTAAGAAGATTGATAACCCCCTGGCCAGACTTATCAAAAAGAAAAGAGAAATGACCCAAATCAACAAAATCATGAATGAAAGAGGAGAGATCACAACCAACACCAAAGAAATACAAACAACTATAAGAACATATTATGAGCAACTCTATGCCAGCAAATTAGATAACCTGGAAGAAATGGGTGCATTCCTGGAGATGTATCAACTACCAAAATTGAACCAGGAAGAAATAGAAAACCTCAACAGACCTATAGCCACTAAGGAAATTGAAGCAGTTACCAAAAATCTCCCAACAAACAAAAGCCCAGGGCCAGATGGCTTCCCAGGGGAATTCTATCAGACATTTAAAGAAGAATTAATACCTATTCTCCTGAAACTGCTCCAAAAAATAGAAATGGAAGGGAAACTTCCAAACTCATTTTATGAGGCCAGCATTACCTTGATCCCAAAACCAGACAAAGACCCCATCAAAAAGGAGAATTACAGACCAATATCCTTGATGAACATGGATGCAAAAATTCTCACCAAAATACTAGCCAATAGGATCCAACAGTACATTAAAAGGATTATTCACCATGACCAAGTGGGATTTAGCTCTGGGCTGCAAGGCTGGTTCAACATCCGCAAATCAATCAACGTGATACAATACATTAACAAAAGAAAGAACAAGAACCATATGATCCTCTCAATAGATGCAGAAAAAGCATTTGACAAAGTACAGCATCCTTTCTTGATCAAAACTCTTCAGAGTATAGGGATAGAGGGTACATACCTCAATATCATAAAAGCCATCTATGAAAAACCTACAGCGAATATCATTCTCAATGGGGAAAAGCTGAGAGCTTTTCCCCTAAGGTCAGGAACGTGGCAGGGATGTCCACTGTCACCACTGCTATTCAACATAGTATTAGAAGTCCTAGCCACAGCAATCAGACAACAAAAAGAAATCAAAGGCATCCAAATCGGCAAAGAGGAAGTCAAACTCTCACTCTTTGCAGATGATATGATACTGTATGTGGAAAACCCAAAAGACTCCACCCCAAAACTGCTAGAACTCATCCAGGAATTCAGTAAAGTAGCAGGATATAAAATCAATGCACAGAATTCAGTAGCATTCCTATACACCAACAAGACAGAAGAGAGACAAATCAAGGAGTCGATCCCATTTACAATTGCACCCAAAACCATAAGATACCTAGGAATAAATTTAACCAAAGAGGCAAAGGATCTGTACTCAGAAAACTAAAAAATACTCATGAAAGAAACTGAAGAAGACACAAAGAAATGGAAAAACCTTCCATGCTCATGGATTGGAAGAACAAACATTGTGAAGATGTCAATGCTACCTAAAGCAATCTACACATTCAATACAATCCCCATCAAAATACCATCCACCTTTTTCAAAGAAATGGAACAAATAATCCTAAAATTTGTATGGAACCAGAAGAGACCCCGAATAGCCAGAGGAATATTGAAAAAGAAAAACAAAGCTGGCGGCATCACAATTCCAGACTTCCAGCTCTATTACAAAGCTGTCATCATCAAGACAGTATGGTACTGGCACAAATACAGACACATAGATCAGTGGAACAGAATAGAGAGCCCAGAAATGGACCCTCAACTCTATGGTCAACTCATCTTTGACAAAGCAGGAAAGAATGTCCAATGGAAAAAAGACAGTCTCTTCAACCAATGGTGTTGGGAAAATTGGACAGCCACATGCAGAAGAATGAAACTGGACCATTTCCTTACACCACACACAAAAATAGACTCCAAATGGTTGAAAGACCGAAACGTGAGACAGGAGTCCATCAAAATCCTAAAGGAGAACACAGGCAGCAATCTCTTCGACCTCAGCCGCAACAACTTCTTCCTAGAAACATCGTCAAAGGCAACGGAAGCAAGGGCAAAAATGAACTATTGGGATTTCATCAAGATAAAAAGCTTTTGCACAGCAAAAGAAACAGTCCACAAAACCAAAATACAACTGACAGAATGGGAGAAAATATTTGCAAATGACATATCAGATAAAGGGCTAGTATCCAAAATCTATAAAGAACTTATCAAGCTCAACACCCAAAGAACAAATAATCCAATGAAGAAATGGGCAGAAGACATGAACAGACATTTTTCCAAAGAAGACATCCAAATGGCCAACAGACACATGAAAAAGTGCTCAACATCGCTGGGCATCAGGGAAATCCAAATCAAAACCTCAATGAGATACCACCTTACACCAGTCAGAATGGCTAAAATTAAGAAGTCAGGAAACGACAGATGTTGGCGGGGATGCGGAGAGAGGGGAACCCTCCTACACTGTTGGTAGGAATGCAAGCTGGTGCAGCCACTCTGGATAACAGTATGGAGGTTCCTCAAACAGTTGAAAATAGAGCTACCATATGATCCAGCAATTGCACTACTGGGTATTTACCACAAAGATACAAAAGTAGGGATCTGAAAGGGTACGTGCACCCCAATGTTTATAGCAGCAATGTCCACAATAGCCAAACTGTGGAAAGAGCCAAGATGTCCATCGACAGATGAATGGATAAAGAAGATGTGGTATATATACACAGTGGAATATTATGCAGCCATCAAAAGAAATGAGATCTTGCCATTTGCAATGACGTGGATGGAACTGGAGGGTGTTATGCTGAGTGAAATAAGTCAATCAGAGAAAGACATGTATCATATGACCTCACTGATATGAGGAATTCTTAATCTCAGGAAACAAACTGTGTGTTGCTGGAGTGGTGGGGGGTGGGAGGGATTGGGTGGCTGGGTGATAGACATTGGGGAGGGTATGTGCTATGGTGAGCGCTGTGAATTGTACAAGACTGATGAATCACGGATCTGTACTTCTGAAACAAATAATGCAATATATGTTAAGAAAAAAAAGAAGAAGATAGCAGGAGGGGAAGAATGAAGGGGAGTAAGTCAGAGGGGGAGACGAACCATGAGAGACGATGGACCAGACGATGGACCAGACGAAAAACAAACTGAGGATTCTAGAGGGGAGGGTGTTGGGGGGATGGGTTAGCCTGGTGACAGGTATTAAAGAGGGCACATTCTGCGTGGAGCACTGGGTGTTATGCACAAAGAATGAATCATGGAACACTACATCAAAAACTAATGATGTAATGTATGATGATTAACATAACAATTAAAAAAACTATTAAAAAAAAAGAAGTCTCCTAGGATTCTAGTCTTTGACGGTTGTATGTGTTGCATATAACTTTTCCCACTCCAACTGTGCTCTTTTCACTCTTGACTGGTTTCTCTTCATGAACAAAAATTCTTAAAATATACTAATCTTTTTATGTTTTTTATGTTTTTTTTTTAAGATTTATTTATTTGACAAAGAGAGACACAGAGAGAGGGAACACAAGCAGGTGGAGTGGGAGAAGGAGAAGCAGGCTTCCCGCCAAGCAGGGACCCGACATGGGGCTCGATCCCAGGACCCTGGGATCATGATCTGAGCCGACGGTAGACGCTTAATGACTGAGCCACCCAGGCACCCTGTTTTTTATGTCTTCTTAATGTACAAAAGAATCTAAATGGCTAATAAGAGGTTTGATCTCATTAGTAATCAGGGAAATGCAAATTAAAGCTAAAATGAGGATATAATTTTACATCCAGCTAAATTAGTGTGATAGGAAGAAATAAACAAAACCAACCTGGAAAAAAATGAATATGAAAAAACATAACCCAATATTTTCAATGGGAATAATATGAATAAGTACTTCACAAAAAAAGAAATCCAGGGGCACCTGGGTGGCTCAGTCGTTAAGCGCCTGCCTTCAGCTCAGGTCATGATCCCAGGGTCCTGGGATAGAGCCCCACATTGGGCTCCCTGCTCGGCAGGAAGCCTGCTTCTCCCTCTCCCAACTCCCCCTGCTTTTGTTCCCTCTCTCGCTCTCTGTCAAATAAATAAATAAAATCTTAAAAAAAAAAAAGAGGGCACCTGGGTGGCTCAGTTGGTTAAGCGACTGCCTTCGGCTCGGGTCATGATCCTGGAGTCCCGGGATCGAGTCCCGGATCAGGCTCCCTGCTCAGCGGGGAGTCTGCTTCTCCCTCTGACCCTCCCCCGTCTCATGCTCTCGCTCTCTATCTCATTCTCTCTCTCAAATAAATAAATAAAATCTTAAAAAAAAAAAAAGAAATCCAAATTAGTGGTATTCAGCAAAAGTCTGAACTAGTTAACATTCTTCATTTCTAGAAGAAAGTAATAAATTCTAAAAGTATTAATGAATTTGGAAATTTTTGAGTCTTAGAAGCTAACTCTCATGACTTTCAAAACTTCAAGCTTCTTAAGGGCAGGAACTAAATCTGCTTTCTTCAGGGCTAGAACAGTGACTGGCACTATCCCACCTGCCCTCCTCCCCAAATCGTTAAATATATAAACAAATTAAAAAAATGCGTGAAACTACAAATTTCAGTGTTAATTACCTTCCTGTGTTCTGACACTAGCAGCCTTAGCTGCATTTCTATTTCATTACTTGTTACTGAAGCATCAATTGTGGATGCACACAGAGGGGGAAAGGGAGGAAGGGATGTTGTAGCTCCCGGAGCACACACAGATTTGATTGCTTCTTCACTCATGGGCTTCCATTTGGATTCATCATTCAAATCAAATACACAGATTTCTACTGAGTCAGAGGGCTGACAATTTCCCAGGAACATCTGATGATTGAAAACACAACCAATTGTTCGATATGGGTACAATGGTTTGGGCTGTTCAGCAACTGGAGATTCATCAGGATTGGCAGGTTTGTGGATGTACCTAAAAAAAGTAAATCATCATTTTATATAATAAAAACTTAAAAATTAAGAAGGCAACACCTACTGATAAAGATACTTAAGGCTATAACTATTTCCTAGGACTAGAGTTTAATACTTGTTTTTTCTTCTTATATTTCTACAATTTGATTACTCTACAGTAATTGTATGGCACATATTATGATATAAAAATCAACTTTATTCAACATGAAAATATATTCTATGTATAATCATTAAGATCAAAACTGTTCATCTCAAATAACACAATTAAAATAACTTAGCTACAACTAAATAGGTACAACTAATTAAAACAATTATCAACCAGGGGGAAATTTAGAAAACTGAGAAGATGGCCCAGGGCTACACCTTTAGGAACTCCAACATTTACAGATAAAATGAAGGAGAAGTGAGAACAGCCAGACAGGAATAATGAAAACTGAAAGACAGAGCTATGGGAGAAGCTAAGGAAAGAGATGGTCCCAGGAAAGAAGGAGGAGCACGCAACTCTTTCAAAATCTGATGGCAGTCAAAAGAACTAAGAAAAGTATACAGTGAATTTACCAATGTGGAGTTAGTGACGTCAAATTTTCAAAAGAAATCATGATTTACACCCTGAACTTACTTTTAGGCTTGAGGAAAAACATCAGAAAAAGCATATGCCAATTACACAAAATTAAAAAGAAATCATTTATTTTTTACCAATATTATGTTGGTAAAGAATATTTTAGATGTACAAATTTTCTTCAAATTTAGTATTTTAATTGAAGTAATGTTTTACCTAGTTATCAAAAAGGCTCTAATAATGAAAATTATCAGGATGTGCCTTTGAATACCATCAATATAAACAAAGAACCTATAATTTCAAACATTTACATCTTCATTTTAATATCCTTATAACATAGTTGACAAACCTGTGACCTGTTAAACTCTCCCAAAAAGTGATAGTCCCATCAGTTCCACAGGTCATAACCCATGCGTGAGGTACTCCTTTTGCCTTAGTCCCAACACAGACAAAGGCTTCTAATCCATATCCAAGAAGAAGGCTGCATAGAAGGTTAGCATGATCTTCACAGTCACCCTAGAAAATGAAATGAATTAAGTATTCATTCTTTCAGTTTCCTCATTAAATATCCAATAAAAATTATAATTAAAAAGCAGTATTAATTTTTTCATTTTTTCAAGTTTTTTTTTTTTTATTTTTAAGTAATCTCTAAACCCAACATGGGACTCAAACTCACAACCCTGAGAGTCACATGCTTCACCAACTGAGCCAGCTAGGCACCCCTAGATTTTTTTTTTTTTAAAGGTTTTATTTATTTACTTAGGAAGGAGCAAGAGAGAGAAAGAGAGGAAAGGGAGAGGGAGCAGACTCCCCACCCAGCAGGGAGCCCAACATGGGGCTTGATCCCAGGACTCTGAGATCACGACCTGAGCCGAAGGTGACTGAGCCACCCAGATGCCCCTAATTTTTTCTTTTAATCATTAGTCTAGTGGTAAGCTGAAACAATTGGGGACAGGGGAAAGAATACACTAATTTTAGAAGAACCTAAATTATTTTACAAAGTCAGTGCTCACAAATCTGATAGTCATAACATATATACTTTAAAAGGGGACATTCAGGGGCACCTGGATGGCTCAGTCGTTAAGTGTCTGCCTTCAGCTCAGGTCATGATCCCAGGGTCCTGGGATTGAGCCCCACATCGAGCTCCCTGCTCGGCAGGAAGCCTGCTTCTCCCTCTCCTACTCCCCCTGCTGTGTTCCCTCTCTTGCTGTGTCTCTCCCTGTCAAATAAATAAATAAAATTGGGCGCCTGGGTGACTCAGTTGGTTGAGCGACTGCCTTCGGCTCAGGTCATGATCCTGGAGTCCTGGGATCGAGTCCCACATTGGGCTCCCAGCTCAGCGGGGAGCCTGCTTCTCCCTCTGACCCTATCCCCTCTCATGCTGTTCTATCTCTCTCTCTCTCTCAAATAAATTTCTTTAAAAAAATAAATAAATAAAATCTAAATAAATAGATAAATAAATAAAAGGGGACATTCGGATTCAAAAGTTTATAAAAAACTCATATAACATAGAAAAGTAGCAAGATTTTAAAGATGAATAGATAAGAGCTAAAGGACATGAACAGACAAGATGACAAATGATACATCAAGAAATGCAAATACATGGGAAAAGACTCAAACTTAAAACAATGAGTTACAGTATCTGTACGTGATCATTTTAAGGCAATACATACCAGGAAAAATGGCTGAAAGAAGAAAATGTCAACAATGGCTATAATTATGGAAGGTTATATATCATTTTCTCTTCTAGTTTCTAAATTTTCTTTGACAATATATTACTTTCACAACTTAAAAATACTATGAAAGCTACAAAAACAAAATATCTGATAATCTATAAAAAAATAAAAATATTAAAACAGGCTACAATTACATGAAGATATGTATTTAAGTGCAGGACTACAGGTAATATACAAAAGCAAAATTTTAAGTTCAGTGTTAGCCTGAGGGGTGATTTCTTTCCCCTTAAATTTTGTATTAGTGGCTCTGTACTGCTGTTTTTTGATTAAATATACTAGAATCAATAACATTTTAAAACGTCAAATTTGACTTTTGAAAAATATATCCAACCTTTTAGACCCAGTAATTTCTATACTGAGATTTTATACTAAAAATTTTCAAAAGAAAAATAATAATACTCCCAAAGATATTCAATGAAAATATTCACTCACAAAGATTTAAAAAAATTAGAAGCAAGCTACTGTAGCCAAAAGAAACAGTTCCTACAATGGCAATAGTTAAGTAGATTTTGTAATCCACTAAAGAAAACTTTATACAAACATTAAAAGATGGAGATCATAAAAACTGTAGCAACAACTACATGGGAAAATGTCCACAGCACAATGTTAAATTATAAAGCAGGACACAAAACTTTATTTATATCTCAATTATAATCATGGAAAAATAATATATACACAGAGAAACACAAAAACATAAAAAGAGATGAAACACTGGCAATAGAATTATGGGAGAAATTTCACCCTTACTGCTGTAATGCTCTTGTTTGTGCAAGAATAACTTTTTCAATAATTTCAAGCTTCTGGGGTGCCTGGGTGGCTCAGTTTAAGTGGCTGCCTTCTGCTCAGGTCATGATCCCAGTATCCTGGGATCAAGCCCTGTGTTGGGCTCCCTGCTCAGTAAGGAGTATGCCTCTCCCTCTCCCACTGACTCTCCCCGCTACTTGTACTCTCTCTCACTCTCTTTCTCTCTGAATAAATTAAAAAAAATTTTTTTTAAATTAATAATTTCAAGATTCTAATTTAAGGGCGCCTGGGTGGCGCCCTTAAATTAGTTGGTTAAGCGACTGCCTTCGGCTCAGGTCATGATCCTGGAGTCCCGGGATCGAGTCCCACATCGGGCTCCCTGCTCAGCAGGGAGTCTGCTTCTCCCTCTGACCCTCCCCCCTCTCATGTGCTCTCTCTCTCTCATTCTCGCTCTCTCAAATAAATAAAATCTTTAAAAAAAAAAAAGATTCTAATTTAAGATGTGCTTTCTCTTTAAACAAACTCAGGTAAACAAAATGAATCAAAGGGGTGATTATTTGTTTTAGGAAATATTTACATAATGACTCTAAATATGTACCATTCCTGCTATATTTGAAATAAAAAAGCTTAAATCCAAACACACAACTTTTGGGAACCACAACTTGAGAATAAATCAAAATAATTTATTGATAATGTTTAACTTTTCGTTTTTTTTAAGAAAGAAATAGTGTGGGGGCGCCTGGGTGGCTCAGTTGTTAAGCGTCTGCCTTTGGCTCAGGTCACGATCCCAGGATCTTGGGACTGAGCCTCGCAACAGGCTGCCTGCTCTGCGGGAAGCCTGCTTCTCCCTCTCCCACTTCCCCTGCTTGTGTTCCCTCTCTCGCTGTGTCTGTTTCTGTCAAATAAATAATCTTTAAAAAAAAAAATTAAAAAAGAGAGAGAGAGGGTGCGGGAGGTGGGGAGAAGCAGGGTGGAAGGAAGAAAGAAGAGAATCTTAAGTAGACTCCATGCTGAGCGTGGAGCCTGACTTGGGGCTCAACTCCACGATCCTGAGATCATGACCTGAGCCAAAATCAAGAGTAAGATGTGTAACTGACTGAGCCACCCAGGAACCCCTTCAATTTTTTTTTTTCCTTTAAGATTATTTATTTATTTATTTGAGAGAGAGAGAGAGAGAGAGAGAGAGAGACCATGCAAGAGAGAGAGAGCATGAGCAGGGTGAGGGGCAGAAGGAGAAACAGACTCCCCACTGAGGAGGGAGCTCGACTCAGGGCTCAATCCCAGGACCCCAGGATCATGACCTGAGCCGAAGGCAGACACTTAACTGACTGAGCCACCCAGGTGCCCCCCACCAATTGTTTTTAAGATAAAATCTTCCTAACAAATCAATCCCTAAGCTAAATAGGCTCTTCAGTATAAGCTTTGCCTTGTGAATGAATACTCATACTACTTATACAACCTCAGACAAAAATTATTGCAAAACAAATAAATTAATTTTTTTCTATTTCAGAACTGAAATGCTGAAGATAGTCTTGTTTTCATATTATCAACATTTTTAGAACACAGAAGATTAAAAATATCACATAATCTATAAAATTCATTTATTGAATTAACATCAGAAATGTACACAAATTCTTATATACTTACACTTGAAACTAAACAAAATACATGCAATCCAAGATTTTCTTCCATATTCATCTTGTACTGCCATTTTCTCTTTTAAAAAAAATGTATCATCTAAATAGATTTTAAAACATGAATAGTACTAGAAAGACCATGATCCTGGTCCCAGCACCGTCTCTAATTCACTGTTTAATTTACCTCTATATCTTGATTTCTGACACAATAGTACTTGTCTTCACCTCACAAAAATATTATGCTAAATAAGAAACTACACAAGAAAATAAAGTTGCTAAGTTTTTTATGTATTAAAAACAAAAGATTCTGACTAGTTCAAATTGATAATTTACCCACTTTTCTGTTTTCAAATGCAATCAATTCACAATAACTATGATGTACTACTTTTTAATTCTATTACATGTGTAGAATACCTTGTTTCTACAGAGAAAGGCCAGCAGAGTGCACCATTGTTCCTGTTTACCTCCTCCTCCAATAACAGGGGCTCTTTCATAACCAAGGACATTAACAAATCTTGCTGCCTGCCTTGGAGTATCCAGAAGCCTCCCAGCTCGAAGTGGTTTAATATAGGAACAGACTGGTCTATTTATCCCATTTTCATCCTGGGGGAAGAGGGTAAAAACATCAACTGTAAGGATAGATTAATTATTCCCAATTTTAAAACTTTTTCTTAGAATATATTAATGTGGGACAAGATAATTCTGGATAACACTTATTGAGTGCTTACCCTGCATCCAGCACTAGGTAGCTAAGTGCTACGCATACAATTTATCTTTTAATCTTAACATCTCTTACTGTTTTCATTTCATAAATGAAGAAACTGAAGCTACAGGTATTATGCAACAGAGCTGGGATTCAAACCCTTAGCTGTCTCCAAAACTTGTGACAATAAGAACTTGAACTACCATGATTCAGCAATCTCACTCCTGGATATAGATCTGAAGCAACTGAAATCAGTATCTCAAAGAGATATATGCACATCCATGCTCACTGCAGCATTACTCACAATAGTCAAGATATGGAAACAAGTAAAATGTCCTTTAATGGATGAATGAGTGAAGAAAATGTGGTATTACATATACAATAGAATATTATTCGGCTATAAAACAGGAGATCCTGCCATTCGTCACAACACGGATGAATCTGAAGAGTATTAAGCCAAGTGAAATAAGCCAGACAGAGAAAAACAAATCCTGTATGGTGTCACTACATGTGAAATCGTTATTAAAAAAAAAAAAAAAAAAGGCTGATTTCAGAGAAATAGGAAATAGAATGGTGGCTGCCAGGGGTTGGGGAGAGGGAGGAATAGGGAAGATGTACGTCAAAGGGTACAAATTTTCAGTTATAAGAAGAGTAAGTTCTGAGGATCTAACATACAGCATGGTGACTAGTTAATACAGTAAACTTGAAAGTTGCTGAGAGTAGATTTTAAGCATCCTCACCACATGAGAAAGAGGTAACTATGTGGGGTGATGGATGTGTTCATCATCTTAATCCTGGTAGTCATTCCACAAAGTATATGTACATCAAATTATGTTGTACACTTTAAATATAAACAATTATATTTGTTAATTACTCCTCAATAAAATTAGGGGAAAAAAAGAACTCCTCTGAAAACAGAATAGGCAGGTATTTGGGGGATGGAGAGGGGATCTAAGACAAAGTATTCTTTCGTATTATCATACAGAACTTAATACTGTATATCCAAACAGAATAACTTGTCTGATTTACTGATCCAACAAGTTATCAGAGCTCATTTTTAGTTTGTTTCCATTACACTTGGAGATCCACAGGAAACAAGGATTTGTTAACCAACTGAACTGAAAGCAGACTTTTAAAAATTATTTAAGGAAAACATCTTACATTTTTAAAATAGAATGTGTCCTAGCATTTGAGCTGAATAACTACAGGGCATACAAAAGTCTCTGATGACTGTCCACCGCTGGGCTTTTTGAGTTAATACTACCAAAGCCCACATTTCCCTTACATTCATGGTTACTGAGATGACAAAGTCAAAGGATTACTTTCTATTCAAAATTCAAAGATAATTTAACACTCTCTATCATGGCAAGGCTCCTGGGAAACAAGGCCTAACTCAGAGAAATAACTGTTTCAATTATCAGAACCACTGATGTCTTTCTATACCACAAAAACATCACCTCTCCACTATAATCCCATACCTTAGCAAGAAAAAAAAAACCCCTATTATTTATATTTAATTATCATGAGAAAGATCATGAATTTTCTTACATAGAGCAAAGATTTATTATGATTTGACTCATAACTATGGTTCTCAACTCTAAAAGGCACTGACTTTTTTCCGTCCTCTCCCACCCCACTGTTACCTCCCTGGCTCACACACATCCATGGTGGCCTCCTACTCTCCATCTCCCCCGTGCTATCTTGGGAGTCAGAAACAGAGACAGAACAAAAGGATCAGCTAGGAAAAAGCTCAAATAGAATGATGAACCAAAGACAATTAAGGAAACTAAGGAACAGAGACAGGAAGGAAATTTAAGTAAAGGGTGTTTCAAGGCACTCATTTCAAAAACAGAAAATCATGATTCTAATTTTGGAGGGAAGTAGAAAACTATTATTTGGATTTCTTTTACATTAACTCAGTATTTATTTATTTATTTATTTGACAGAGACAGAGAGAGAGAGGGAACACAAGCAGGGGGAGTGGAAGAGGGAGAAACAGGCTTCCCGCGGAGCAGGGAGCCCAATGTGGGGCAGGGAGCACAATGCGGGGGCTCGATTCCAGGACCCTGGGATTATGACCTGAGTCAACAGCAGACGCTTAACGACTGAGCCACCCAGGCACCCCCACATTAGCTCCTTATTAATTATTAATCTAGTATAGTGTGAGAATATTGTCTTGAAATCAAAATCTGAACATTAAAAGGATAGACTCCAACCTCAAGTGATTTGTAACATTTTCTTAAAACTTAATGGCCTTGGGGCGCCTGGGTGGCTCAGATGGTTAAGCGTCTGCCTCCAGCTCAGGTCATGATCCCAGGGTCCTGGGATCAAGCCCCACATCGGGCTCCTGGCTCAGCGAGGAGCCTGCTTCTCCCTCTCCCTCTGCCTCTCTCCCTGCTCATGCACTCTCTCTCTCTCTCTCTCTATCTCTGTCTCAAATGAATAAATAAAATCTTAAAAAAAAAAGGCCTTAAAGATGAATTTCTATAACTTACTTTAAAATTTCTTACACTAGAAAATTTAAAAGCTATTATTAAGTGAATTACTATTGTACTATAGCAAAACAATGAGGAAGAAAAAGTACAATAGATTATTAAGTAAAACAACTCCAAGGATTCTACAGATGTTTGGTTAAGATAAAGGTAATTAACTGAGTTCCTGAGTGGGCCATTTAGTCCTATTCTTATAACTCCACCAACAGAGAGGAAAGGAATGAGTACCTAAAAAGTGGATGCATTTGCCCTAAATCAATCATCAATAGTAACATCTGAGAATACAAGATATATCATTATACATTTCATTACAGCAATATTTCTCATATTATCTATAATATATCCCCATAAACAAAATGTCTTGAAAATTTTGGTACTTTAGCTTCTAAACCTGCACTGTCCATTAAGAATGCCCCAATCCTATGTGGCTTTTTAAATAAAATTAAATAAAATTCAAAATTCAGTTCTGTGTTGCCACATTTTGCATGCTCAATAGTTCAATGATTATCATACTGGACAGCACAGAGAACATTTCCATCACTGCAGGAAGATAGTGCTGCTGTAAACTATTTTCTCTTGTGCCTAGAAGCACTGGAAATTCATTTCAGACCATGTATAATAACTTTTTGGTTTAAAATTAGTTTTTGTGATTAGACTGACTGCCTTAAATAAATGTTATTGTTCCTTAACTTCATATCTAGTCAAATATAGAACACAGCAGCAAAAGACACTTTTGGAGAACTGAAGTAAGATAAACATTTTTACTCTATTTATCCAGAGGTGGTCCAGTCAAACCAAAAAAGCACTAGTTGAAACTGCAACTTAATGGAGTCTCCATGACTAAGGTGCTGTTTGATATTAGGAAAAATATTTTACTCTTCTCTTTTATACTGTTTTTTCTATAAAAAGTGGCAATGCCTGGCCAACTGACAATCTCATATGGTTACCATGAGACTAAGTGACCTTATGTGGTTCAAACCTTCTTACAATGAATTCTAAGAGATGGGAACTTGTTTAAGTAGTATTTCCTAAAAAATATCCCCGTTCCGATTTGCATAACTGCATCATCCTCTTTCTCCTCCTCTTTCATTTGCCATTTCTCTGATTCACTTCCTCACCCACCCATTCTTCTCTGGTCCCAGATTCCACATGGCAATGCATAACCTCACCTCAGACTAAATAGACAGCAGGGAGCCAGTTATATTTTGACTGGTTTCTCTTTGCCCCATCCTGACATCAATGCTACCTGTCTGCCCAGGCAAACAACGCAGAGACAATGCTCCTGGAGAGTGAGAAGCTGTTTCCCTCATTTCCACCACTAGTCAATGAGGCTCTCCCACTTTTAAGCTCCTCATCTAGAAACTGAACTACTCTTAGCCCATCCTACTACGTAGGGTAAAACTAGATAAACGCACAGGATCTGAGATATATTAGTCAAAATACCACCACACTATAACTCATAAAAACATCTACATAAGGTTGGATAAATATAAAATATGCGAATGGTTCCTCAGAAGTTACAAAATATATGATCTAATATATTTTATTATATGATTATATGTTAATGAGAGAAAATAGGCTTAGGATACAGGAAAATAGAAGCAGAGATACAGAACTGAAATGCTGCAGTTAAATATTACTGGTCACTGGTTCAGAGATTTTGGCTATATGGAATTATTACATGTAATAATGTCTTTAAGAAGATAGCCTAATAATGTATATGCCTAAACATACATGCACACTTCTGTACATGAAAGCCCCACTTCTGTACATGAAAGCTGAATTTACATTAACTGCAAAGTATCTTAGTATTTAATCATTTAGTACTAAATATCACACTCCAAATTAAACAAAGTGGGTCTTCATCTATTTTAAATCAAATATATTCAAAAAGGATTTAAAAAGAATAATTGAAAATGAAAAGCAAAATAAAACAAAGATTGTGTTATGTCACCTACTCAGTGAAAGAGTACTATAAAATCATACTCGATTTTTACAAATAGTTTCATTTGTCTGGAATAAATACATTTTACAAATTTCATCTTAATTGAAATTTACATATACAACAGTAAATCTCAAATATAGGTGTGAACCTTTTCTAATGCAATTTACAAACCTGTGCAAAAATCTTAACCAGCCGTGAGTTGTGTGAAGGTCGAATTTGCAAATATTCTCTCCACCACTGCTTTGCATATACAAGAAATAATCGCTCTTTCTCCGCAGTTTTCTGACGTTCCAAAGCAAGCTTGAAATTTAAAAAAATATTTCCTTCAATTTGTTTTTTCTCCTTACATACTCTAAAATATGTAACAATTCAGCATCCTTTTCTCCATCTCTACCACCACCCTAACATGAGCTATCATCTCTACCATCTATCTCTAAGAGCCTCCTGACTGACTTCCCTGTATCTATACCCCACCCCATAATCTCATCTCCATATAATGGTTAGTGATCTTTTCTCACAAGACAAACATTTTTAAATAGATCATATTGTCATTCTTTTGCTTAAAACTAGTAAGTGATAATTTTCTAAAAAGAAAGTACTTTCTAGGATCAACAGGTAAATATACCACTATGAAAACAAATACACAAAGAAGAGAAATTCAGAATTATTTACCTGTGTGTTCACTACTTCTTGAGATAATGTTTGATTGAGTGGTGGGTACATCTCAAGTTTTATATTTAAAATTCCCACAGAAACTTTTGATTCTGTGCCTATAAATTTAAATAAATATTTAGAACTTCAGAGGTTTCCAAACTATGTATATTTAGTCAGCCAAAGTCTAACCAAAATAATTAAAGAATTTTGTGCTTTACCTCTTACATGAAATACAGATAATATTCAACATCATCTTTAATATTCATATTAAAAACGAACCAAATCATATTAGTTTTTATTTTGCGTGAAGACCTTTATCTGATTATAAAGAGATTACCTATTTTCTGAGTTTGCTTATCACATTTTAAGGGGCTGTTTGGATACAGAGGAATTGGTATTCTTAATTTAATGAAGACAAAAATGTATGCCAACCAGATTTACATCAAAAACAAAGTAAAGCAACAGTTAACATCTCATTCTCAGAAAATATTTATACTTTATCATATATAGTAATTCCTATCTATCCCTTCCTATATATATTTTTTTAATCCCTTCCCATTTTTCATATCACATGTGAGTACAAATTTGCAATCCATTCCTGGATTTAAAGAATCAGAAAACAAATATACTTTTTTTTGTTGTTACCAGAACTATTTACTATTTCTCTGGTGAATCAGAATATACTTGTTTCTTGGTCACTACTATGATAACCATGTTAGGACTGTATCTGAAGACAAATATGGGGTATCTTTTGAAAATAAATATCCCACATAAAACTTTTTCACCTACTTTCTATTTAAGGAAAAACACATTCCGGGTCTGACTTATCAGAATCTAAAGTCCTAAAGCTATACTGTCCACTGGCCAGGTTAGACTATGCAACTTAGTTTCAATACCAAAGCAATTCCTTTACATGTTATGCATAAAATATTGGTAGGTCTTATTTTATTAGCAAATATGTATTACACATCAGGTAGTATGCAAGAGTCCAAGGAGACAATGGTGAATAAGACAGGCACCATCGCTGTCCTCAAAGAGTACTATTCACAGATATTGTCAATGAGCAAGTTAGTACCTCTTTGAGTCCCACGTTCCCACATGTAAAAGGATGGAAGAATATCAACTCCATAACCTTTAAGAACTCTTGCTGCAGGAAGACACTGGTACTAATGGGGATGCACTGTACACTGGAGTGTGCTGGAATAGAGGGTTTTTACATATGCATGTGTGTGAAGAATCTTAATTTTCTTTACAGTCTTATATACAATCAAATAAATTTGAAAAAAGAAAGCAAGGGATGCCTAGGTGGCTCAGTCGGTTAAGCTTCTGGATCGAGTCCTGCATCAGGGTCCCTGCTCAGTGGAGACCTCCTTCTCCCTCTCCCTCTGCTGCTCCTCCTGCTTGTGCACACTCTCTCTGTCAAATAAATAAAATCTTAAAAAAAGAAAGAGCAAGTAAGCCCCATAAAAATTTTTTTCCTTAAGACAAGGTCAGATTGACTGTGAAGTTCTATACTTATAACATGCTTCATGACATTTCCCAAGACTACAATACTACAGTCCAACTATAATTCTAATGAAATCCTTTTTTTAAGTATTTTTAAAAAAGATTTATTTTAGGCAGGGGGGAGAATGCACACAAGTGCAGGCGGGGAGGGAAAGGGAGAGGGAGTCTTAAGCAGACTCCATGCTGAGTGCAGAGCCTGATGCGGAACTTGGATCTCACAACCCTGAAATCAATACCTGGGCGGAAACCAAGAGTCGGGCGCCCCCTAATGAAATTCTTTTTACACGTTTCCTTCTTGGTTTACAAAGGTATTCAGAAAACATAAAATGTATTTATAAACAAGCTGTGGCTATAAAAAGGTAACAGTGATTAATCATCATACCTACACCCATAAGTTCCACAGTAAGACTGGTCATTCCATTTTCTGAGCCCAAAACTGATCGCCATTCGAGAAAATAGGATGCTACCAAAGTAGTCTCACCAAATATGTCTGTTTTAATTAGCACCATATGAACTGGATCACTTATTGATAACATTGTTGTTGAATCAGCCATTCGAGTTCCATCACCTGGCAACATAAACCAAATGCACCACATTACATATTGTTAGGCCAACACAGAAGAATACTTTTATTACAAAGGATACTAATAATAACTTATATAAAACCAAATAAAATAATTTGGTAATGCTTCAAAAAGCATACAACAGATTACTTTATAAAAAAAAGTACAATCCTGGGGCACCTGGGTGGCTCTGTTGGTTAAGCATCTGCATTTGGCCCAGGCCCCTGGGACTGAGCTCCATGTCAGGCTCCCTGCTCAGCAGGGAGTCTGCTCCTCCCCCTCCCCGCCCCTCGTGCTCGCTTACGCTCTCTCTCAAATTAATTAATTTTTTTTTTTTTTTTAAACAGCCCTATTAGGGCAACATTTTTCACTGGGGGCAAAAAAAATTTTCTGTAAGGTATTAACTATCTAAAATTCTGAAGGTATAATTTTATAACTTTGCTAAGTTTACAAATGTAAAGATTTCTCTATTGAACATACAAAATACGTTAATAGAAATAATGTAAAACAATTATGGGAATCAAGTATATAATTTTAAAGTTATAAAAATGAGAGTTACAGATGCCCATCCTAATTTTTATTTTTGAAAGTTACATTAACATCGTAAATCTAGCTATCTTTCATAAATGAGGATTATGTTTCATTCTCTACTATATCCGCAGCACTTACCTACCATAGCATAATGCACCTAACAGGCATTTACTGTTTGACTGATTGATTTGAGTGCACGTGCGCACATGCAAGTGGGAGGGGGAGAGGGAGAGAGAATCTCAGGCAGACTTTGCGCTGAACACAGAGACCGATGCAGGGCTCGATCCCACAACCCTTAGATCACGACTTGAGCCAAAATCAAGAGTCAGATGCTTAATCAACTGTGCCACCCAGCCCCCCACCATACGCATTTAAAAGTTTACTATTAACGAGGCAACCATCAAGACAATAAAAAATAATCTTCAGGGAAAATTAATAAGCAGAAAATAAAGCAAGAAGGTGGGTGGAAGTCATTTATATAAAAAAGAGCAGTGGAGAAAATAAAAGCAAAGTAGGAAGATTCATTCATTATAAATCTCTCCTTACAGTAAAAGTTGTTATGGTTGTTCTACAATGAAACCAAACAAAGATTTACTCAGTTAAGTGACAAATTATCATTGCTCCTTACCTAAGCTTTCTCTGTGTACTTCAAGTAAAAAGCCATCATGAAAATCTGGTTCACAGGCACATGGAACAGGTTTAGAACGAAAACGTTGGTTTCGAAAATGTAAACATAAAGTAAAAGTTGAACAAACTTGTCCCGGTAAAGGCTCAGGTTCTTGTAGATGTTCCAAAAAAGCTTTTCCACCCAAAACCTGAAGGTAAAGATACCTCCGTGTTGGATCAATATTAGCTGTAAAGTGTAGCAATATATATGAGGAAACTGCCAAATAACTTAAGGAATGTGATCAAGACAATAGGAAATAATAACTTAACAGAAATAAAACCAAAGACTAAATAAAGAAAAAGAGTAACAAATTTACTCTATACCAGGACCATTTACAACCAGGGAAGAAAACATGCATAATAAGCTATCTTTATCTGAGTTTATATACTGGCTACTTTTTCCCAGTTAGAAAGGAGTCAGAACCAAGGTTTAAGAAACCTTTACTTTTTGGTTGCTTATCCAACACTCCTTCACCTCCACAAACCAACTCAGACAAATATAAACCCAGCAAGTGTACTTGTTAGGTAATTACCATTAAGAAAAGCAAGGCTGTATAAAGTTTGTAAAATATACTATTAAAACATGAGAAACAGGTGATCCTGTTTTTGCTTCCACTCTGTGATACATTAAATCTTCTGACATACATACTTCATGCAAAACAGAATCTAAGTTTTTTGGATGATTAATCACAAAAATGGTAAGTATTTCGTTTGAGAAAGAAAAAATGTTTTCTATCAAGTACCAAACATTACAGCACATCAATATGTAATACTGTGCAAAACAAAATCAATGTTAAAAAGAAATACACATACTTTTTTTTAACAACGTTGAATGTCTATCAGTAAAACAAACAGGTTGTTTTGGAGAGGAAGGTAGCTCTTGATCAACACTATCCTAGAAAGGCAGGAAAAAAAAATGAAAACAAATTAGAAAGCAAAAATTATGGCTAAGCAAGGAAATGTCAACAATGGGACTAAGAAGTAAATAAAAGTAGATAGGATAAAGCCCCCCTCAAAGAAACTCTTATTTTCTCAGTACAATTAAAATAATGAAAAGCCTGCAAAAAAAGATGATGCAACTGGTCACGCCTAAAGTCTAATAAGGAATTTAACTGTCTTCAATGTCCACAGAACGCAAAAAAAAAATCCTTAATACCTTAAACAAGGTTAAACTTTTTCTAAACCTAATATGACATTTGACTTATGATTCTACCATGAACTGATTTTAATAAGGGAATGACATTCACACAGAAGTTGTTATTGGGTCAATTTTTAAACAAATGGGTTTATAAACCTCAAAAACCAAAAAAGGAGGCTGTATTAAAATACTTATTCCCTGGTGTATTATGCGGTCCATCCAATTTTTACATTATATTACCCAGGTATTATTAGGTCACAGTTTCTCATTATTGCCTCATTTTCAAAAGGAGGCCTACTTACTAATTTGTGCACTGAGGCTATCATCCCACTACTGACCTATTTGTATAAAGAGATTTGAAGGTTCTTACACAATTATTTTCTTAAACAAATTGGTAATTTGTTAATCATAGAGAATGGATTTCCAAAAGAATGTGTTTATTTAAAAAATATGCCTAATCTAAAAAAATTATAGAACACTAGTGGAAAGAAACTAGGTTATGGTGAACTAATTTAACTGAAATAGGTACACTTACAGTTACACAACTAGAGAATGACAATAGAAAATTCTGTCATTTTAGAGAGAAAAATATAGTATGTAACTCCAATCTCTTTGATACATTATCCTACTTGCTACAATAAAGGGTAGAATTAGCTTATACTTGAAGTAAGGATATTACTAGACAAAAATGGTCTTGTTTTAAAGTGATTTTTACTAAAAAGAGGCCCCAAATACGAACCCTATAAGCAGCATTAAGCATGGGAACATACTCTCAAAATTTTTTCCCTAAAAGATTACTCACAGTAACAAAATTAAGTTCTTTCATCACATCATCAATGATTCCCCGACGTCTAAGGGCTTTGATCAAATCTTCTGTTGATAACTGTTGTTGATCTGGTGCCAATTCTTCCCGTATTGTCTCAGCAAGGATTTCTCTTATTCTGCCATGGACATCCATCTATGTAGAAAACTCGCATTACAATTTACATTTATGAAGCCATCAAACGTTGCCAGTTAACTAATTTCTTTCTAAAACACCCAAAGGAAAAAATGGGAGCGTGGATAGACAAAATTCAGGAAGGCTTCTCAAGCTAATAGTAAACGTAAAATTGTTACCAGAATTCAATGAGAATAAAGGCAAGATTTTTTTAAAAGAAAAAAATTTTAGGATGAATTTCTTTTTTTAGTACAAATTCTAGAAATAATTTCTACTGGTTATCTACTACCTTTGTTACCATTTCCCCACAAATAACACTCAACAAAAACAGACCTTTTGAAAGAGAGTGTAGTATAATCAAGAGAACACAGATCTGGAGGAGGAGATCAGAGTACGAATTTCAGCCTTCAACTTATTAGATGTAACCCTAAGTCAACTTTTTTACCCTTTATGAATGTGGAAAAAATAGTGCCCTGTCAAGATTACTGTGAGGCTTCGGTAAAAGATGCTAAATAAACACTTACCACAAAGCCTGGCGTACAAGTGTACAATAAACGGTAGCTTTTATTACTTCAGCTTACTGCATTCAGCTGAGCACCTTAACAATGCTCTTCTTGCGCTCCGAGGTACCACACACACTTTCATTACAAGACCTTTACTAACTTCCCTTTCATGGCTTCTTTAAAAATTGCTGATTTGGTTCAACTTCAAAGAAGTAAGTTTCACCCCTAACGTAATTCTAATTCCTGAACTCTGAATATACACCTGCTCCAAACACAACTTGTACCGGATCTGATACCCAGTAACGGCAGGATGAACGCTTTATCTTCACAGCCGTGCTATCACTCTGCCGCGTTCTGTCACCTCAGACTCTCACTAGTACTTGCCAGCATTGTCCTCTTTCACCGAGGCTAGAAAGCGGCCCCGGCTGCAGACCCGGAGCCCGCCCAGCCCGCGCTCTGCCCCCACAGCCTGCGCTCGCGTCCCCGACACACAGGCGCCGCCGTCGACTGGGCCTCGGGACGCCAGGCTGGGCGCTCAGCACCGAAGGCGGCCGGAGGGGCCCGTGTCGCCCGGCGCCCGCGGCCCTCACCTTGCTCAGCTGCTGGTGGATGAGCTGCTTCAGCTCCGAGGCTTTCTCCGGAGGCAGCGACATGCTGGGGCCGGCGCCTCACCGCGCTTCTCCCCACTTCGGGCGCGCCCCGGCCAGCCCCGGAAAGCCAGTCGCGGCTGAGCAGAGCCGGCGCGACCGATTGGCCTCACGCAGCTCCCGGAGGGCGCGACGCCGCGTCAGGGCCGGTGCTGGGCGGGAGCCGAGGCAGCGGCGGCGCTCAACTGTTGCTTTCAAACGGCGCGGACTACCAGGGCTCGGGCTGCCCCCCTCCCTGCCTGACCACCTCCGCCTGCCGCTCCCTCCCCTGGGGGTCCCCATCCCGCGAGCTCAGCGCTCCCCATCGGCCTGCCCCGCCAGAGTCTCCGCAGGAACTGCCCGCCCTCATCTTTCCCCGGTCACGGGCCCTTTCCGCCCTGCGGACCGGCAGATAGCTGGACGGGCCCTTCAGGACCCCACGCCGAGCCGCACGACGGGCCCCGCCCCGCCCCGCCCCCGTCGCTAGGGGCTCTGGGGACTCCGGCGCACAGACGCGGCGAGGCGCTCGCGGTTTTGCTTTTGTGCCGTCCTCGTTTCTCCCAGGCCCGCGCTCACCCCGTACTCCCACTTCTGTGCGACCATGTTCGTTCCCTGTGGAGAGTCGGTCCCCGACCTCACGGGCTACACCTTCCTAATGGTGAGTGCCCGCTTTCGCGAGCTCCGCGTGCCCGGCTTGGGGTGCTTCCTCTCGGGAGGCTCCCGGGGGTCCGCCACCGCCAGTCGAGGTGTTTCACCGGGCCTGGGACAGAGGACGGTACTTGCTTCTGCTTCAGGTTTTCAGCCTGCACCGAGGACAGGTTGTCGCTCGATGCTGCGCTTCAGATAGAATCTGTTGGCGCTCTCACCGAACGTTTCTGAGACTCGAGTTTGTAGTCTTCGTTGACCGTACAACGTAATGTGTTTGGTTATTACAGGTAACGTTGTACATAGGTTGTAGGGGGCATTTTTTATTATTATATCCTAGAAAATTTTTCTTCAACTAGTATCAGAGCCAGTCTTAAGCTGGCAAGACTTTCTCATTAACTAGAAAACTACAGGTAAGGTCATAAAAGTAATCTTAGGCAGTAGCTAACACACGGTTTTATTGCTCCTAAAATTGCCCATATTCAGTCACTGTTTCAATAAACATTCTGTACTGTAAAAATATTAAAATAAGACTAGGTCCTTGTCCTCAAGAAGTGTGTAGTCTAGTTGGAAACACACGTAAACCAATAAGGGCAATAAATGCTAGGATAGCACTTTGAAAAGGGTACGGAAGAACCCTAGGGCTTACAGGGAGGGGGAGGGACGTAGGGACCTGTTAAAGCTTTATGTGTGGAATGGGGGGGGGACCCTTATAGATACAGAGAACAGACTGGTGGTTGCCAGAGGAGGGTGAGGATGAGGGCTGCTTGAAATGAAATAGATGAAGGCAGTTAAAAGGTACAGATCTCTAGTTATAAATAAGTCTTGGTGTATTGTACAGCATGGTGACTATAATAAACAATATTGTGTATTTGAAACTTGGTAAGAGAGTAGATCTTAAAAGTTCTCATTACAAGAGAAATTTGTAACTGTGGTTGATTGATGTTAAGTAAACTTATTGTGGTAATCTTTTCACAATATATACATATATCAAATTATGTTATCTACCTAATACTGATACAATGTTATATGTCGGTTATATCTCAGTTTTTTAAATGATGGTAATCACCTTGGGGCAATTCTCACCTTAACGATGCATGCAAGAAATATGAATGAATGTTAAAATTAGTGTGTGATAATGTACTGAAGGAAATTTTATATAATTTCAAAGTATCTCCCTGAAAAATATTTGTTGATCACAAAAGGGAAAGGTATCCTTGCAGGAGATGAAACATACATGTACCATATATTCCTGTGTTTACTTTGGGGAGAAGACTTGACATCAGAATGAGGCAAAATTGAGTCCCTGATGTCAGGAGGTTATCTTAGGACAAGGAAAGGGGGCTGTGGGCATGCTCTGAGAGCTAGTACAACCTGGATGGGGTCTTAGACTTGTTCTTGTTAAGGTAAGGAATTCAGGGCCTTGCTTGTTCATAGGCTGCAGCCATATCAGTTGACCTTGAGTCCAGACTTCTCCAGAGACAGCTAGTAAGGTACCTAGCAGAAGAAAAAAAAGAGAAAGATTCATAGGGAAAATAATGTCCAAAAGATTATTGGTGGTAACCTTGACAGTTACCAGTGAGTGGTGAAGGGAGGGAAGCCATATTGGAGTGGTTTGAATAAATGGAAGAAGGGATAGAGACATGTATATGTATGTATTTATCAATTCAGAGATAAAATTCCTGCTTATGTTTTAGTGGACAACTAGGGAATTTTGTCTATGGAGAGACACCAAGAAGTGAGGCGGTAACTAGGGGAATATGTGGGATCAAGGGAGGGTTTTTTAGGAAAGGGGGGGGTGGGGGGTGGGGGGGGGGGGGGGGGGGTATTTTAGAAGGAAAGATTACAGCATGTGTATATGATGATGGGAAGAATCCAATAGTGAAGAAAATGTGGATGATATAGGAGAGTGAGGGTCTAAAGTAGCAAAATCCTTGAGAAGAGGAAAGGGAATTACAGGAGATAACCAGAAGGTTAGTAGATGAGAGCAATGAAAAGTGGGGGACCACCTTAAGAGACCCAGAAAAATAAGATGGTGGGGGGAAGCAGTTCCTAGAAGAATGCAAAGGAAGAGCTACATTACAGAGATACTTTGAAAATAGAATCAATGAAAATTAGACATGTATTAGATGTGGTTTGTAAGAGAAAAGGAAGAAGTTTCTTGGGTTAGGTAATCAGATGAGCAAGTGTAGCTCTTTTCTAAAATGCAAAATGTGAGGACAAGTTTAGGCAGAAGTTTAGTTTTGTACATGTTGAATATGCATTGCCTATGAGATAACCATGTGGACATAACCATTAGGATCTGAAGTTCAGGTAAATGTTTTGGGCTATAGATAGAGATTTGACAATTGGACTCTTTGAAATTGTGGGGATAAATATGCGTGTGTGTTTAATGTGAAAAGAAGCTGACTCCAACCTTTAGGCACTAACAAAGCAAATGGAAGGATGACCCAAGAGGACTTTACCCTTGCTTTCCCACTGCTTGAAGTGTTTTTTTCCCCGGTCTTTGTGTGACTATCTTCCTTACATCTTTCAGGTCTGTGATTAACTGGTCAGCTGTAGAGTAATTGTTTTCATGATCACCCTATTTAAAATTGCAACCAACCACATACACATACACACTCTCACTTAATTTTTCTCCATAGCACTTACCACTGTATATAGGCATACCTCAGAGATATTGGGGGTTTGGTTCCAAACCACAGCAATAAAGTGAATATCACAATAAAGCAAGTCAGATGAATTTTTTGGTTTCCCAGTGCACGTGAAAGTTATGTTTACACTGTAGTCTATTAAGTTTACAATAGTATTATGTCTAAAAAGACAGTGCGCATACCTTAATTTTAAGATTTTATTGCTGGAGAATGCTGACCATCATCTGAGTTTTTAGTGAGTCATAATCATTGATTGCAGATACAATGATAAATATAATAAAAGTTTGAAATATTGAGAGATTTACCAAAATGTAACAGACGCAAAGTGAGCAAATGCTGTGGGAAAAATGGTGCTGATAGACTTCCTTGAGGCAGGATTGCCACAAACCTTCAATTTGTAAAAAACACATTCTCTTTGAAGTTCAGTAAAGTGAAGCATGTGTGCATTTCACTATTTTATTACATTAAATTACTCCCTCACTAGAATGGAAGCTCCACAAGGGCAGGAACTTTCATCGGTTTGTCTTACTGCGTTCCTAGTGCCTAGAGCAATGATTGACATGTAGTAAGTGTTCCATAAGTGTTAAATCAGTCGTCTCAAAAGTAGAGGAAGCCCCTGCTGACACCTCAGTTGCAGCTAATGAAAGAGTCTCTATCCAGCTATTATGTACCTGAGCATAACCATCCAGAAGTAGTCCTGTGATTATTGTCTTCTGTCTAAACTTTTAAAAGTGCTGCTAATTTTGATGATTTAATGAACATATATTTTTTGTTATTTCAGCCAGCAGTATCTGTTGGAAATGTTGGCCAGCTTGCAATGGATTTGATTATTTCTACACTAAATATGTGTAAGATTGGTTACTTCTATACCGATTGTCTTGTGCCGATGGTTGGAAACAATCCATATGCAACTGCAGAAGAAAATTCAACAGAACTCAGTATAAATGCTGAAAGTATGTAAGACTTAAGCCTGTTTTATTCTGTTATAAGGAAGAGTTGTTTTAAATTAGAAGTAGATTCTACAGATACTGTTTTATAGCAAACATGTACTTAGTGCCAGCTTTGTGCAGAATTTATGACCTAGCCTAGTCACATCCTGTTCTCTTATATCTGGTTTTAGTTCTTAGCCTTTTCTAAATGGCAACTCCTATGACGACTGTACTTCTTTAACTAGAATTTGAGGTTTCCTTTTTTTTTTTAATATAAGGTGTTTTTTTTTTCCTTCTTTTATCCTCAGTTTTAATTTCTGTTCTTTCTGGCAAGTATAAGCATCGCTAATACCAAGGAAAAGGGAAAAGAATTCCACCGGGTTCAGTCCGCTATGTTTAACATGCACTACTCCTTTCATATTATTATAGAATCCATAATAATGTAATATCAATAAGGCTCAGAGAGATAGAGTTGCCTAATACTACTAGTAGATGTAGGCTTTTCCCATGCCATAAATCATAATTTCTCATTAGGCCATCAAGCTTGATTAATTGGGGAACACAGTTGACATTATACTGACCACTGTGTTTATAATGTGGTACTACCCTGAGTTAGTAGGGGAAAGCTATTGATCATGAGGCACAGGAGTATCCACTTGCTTTGATGGCAGGCTGCTCTGTTGGCCGCTCAGTTTTCTGTTTTCCATTTTAAAGTGAAAGCCACAGGTGGTAGAGTAGCATGAAAGACCATTGATGAGCTAAAAGACAAATGAACTTTTTTTTTTGTCCATCTTATTAATGGTGCCATTAGCTTGCAATAATGAAATAAACTTTCAAAATATAACCTTAAGGGGTGCCTGGGTGGCTCAGTCAGTTAAGCAGCTGCCTTCAGCTCAGGTCATGATCTCAGGGTCTGGGATCAAGCTGCACATCAGGCTCCTTGTTCAGCAGGGAGTCTGCTTCTCTCTCTGCCTGCCACTCCCCCTGCTTGTGCTCTCTCTCTCTCTCACAAATAAATAAATAAAATCTTAAAAAACAAAACAAAACACCTTAATATTAAAATTGCTGCAGCAAAGATGACTCTGCTAACACAAGACTGAATTTCAGTTATTGCCTTAAAGGATAAAGGACTGTAAATGGTAGAACTAGAATTTATGTACTTCCACTAATGATAACAACTGTCATTTTATTGAGTATTTCCTATGAGCTGAACACTGTGTGTTTAAATGTGTTAATTCATTTAATCTTCACAACTACTCTATGCGTAGTTTTATTGATGAGGAAGCCATTGCACAGAGAAGTTAAGGTCACATGATTAATAATTGGTATAACTGAGCTTCTAATCAAGGCTGTGGCCCCTGAGACCTGCCTCTTAAGCACCACACCACCCTGCTAATGCACTTTCACTCTAGGAGAAGACCTACTGGCTTTTCTTGGACAAAAACTTGCAGCAAGTCAATTGGATGAAGTCCTTTAATCCACTTTATTTTTTAAGATGAGGTATTTTAAAATAAATTGTAGACATCATGACATTCTATCTTCAAATATGCAAGTATGTATCTCTTAACATTTTCTTGTATAGCTAAAATACCATCACATTTAACAAAATTAGGAGTTTCTTAGTGTCTTCCTATACCCTATCATATTCACATTGTTCCAATTTACCCTAAAATGTCCTTTAAAGTTAGTTTGTCTAAACAAAGACCCATAGTAGTCATCTGATTATTGTGCCGCTGAAATTTGTTTTACTCTAGGAGCAGTCTCTTTTTTTTCCTTCTACATGAAACTGACTTACTGAGGAAAAAACTGGACCCATTGTCTTATCAGATGTCTCACCTGCTACGTTTAATATCTTCCTTGTGTCATTTGGCTTGTTCCTCTAGTCTCTGTATTTTCTGTAACCGTATTTAGATCTAAAGGCTTTGTTAGGTAAAAGCTAAATATTTTGTGCCAGAATACATGAAAGGTGATGTTGGTTTCATATTGTATCACATCAGAAAAATAATGGGAAGCAGGATCTTAACAACAAAAAAGATTAGCATGATACACTGATAGAGAATATGAGCGTTGCTATTATAGGAGGTGGTGTATCTTACATTTGCTCACTCCCTACAAATCTATCTGTTCCTACTAGGTCTGTTGAATTGCACTAGATATGTATGTCAGAGATAGACTACAGGCCTGAATGGCCCACATCTTATTCCCTTTCCCCTAAATTTGTGCTCTTTTCCTTAATTCCTAACTTTCTGCTCTTGCCTCCTTTGTCCTGAACATACCTGGTAGTCACTAGACTTGCTGATGCAGCTTAGCCCCCAATCACACCACACAGGTCCAACAAGACACTCTCCCAAAAGACCTATAACTGGAGAGACATGAACTACTAAAGGATTTGCTGAAATCTGGGTTATTTACAGTAACTAAAAGCTTAACCTTCAGCACAGGGGCCTAATTATGCCTCCAAGAGACTCCAGATTTCGTCCTTGGTTTATCTCAGAGCTTCTGGTTCTTGGACAGGGACATGTTAAACATCAGCAAAGTAGGATCCTTGTAGAATGTGATGAAGATTATGGATCCTTTTCCCAGAAGAAGAACACACACATTGACTCACAGAAAATTTTACATTTATTTTGCATGTTATCTTTCAGAAATTGCTAAAGAACACAAATGTGCCTATTTCAGAGATTTTAACATGTGGCCCAACATTCTCCTGCATTTTATTCTTTTTTTAATTTATTTATTTGACAGAGAGAGACAATGAGAGAGGGAACACAAGCAGGGGACTTGAGAGGGAGAAACAGGCTTCCTGCTGAACAGGGAGCCCCACGCGGGGCTCAATCCGAGGACCCTGGGATCATGACCTGAGCCGAAGGCAGATGCTTAATGACTGAGCCACCCAGTTGCCCCATTCTTTCTTCTCTTAATCCCAATGAGTTTCACTACTCTCTAATGAGAAGAAGGGAGAATATCAGAAACTAAAAATATTTGTAAGAATTTTATTGGTCATAATGCCAGAAGTCTCCAGAGGCATACTTCTCTGGTTTTGCAATCACAGAAGAAAAATAATTTTTGGTATTTTCTTTTTTTTTTCTTTAAATTTTTATTGTTATGTTAATCACCATACATTACATCATTAGTGTTTGATGTAGTGTTCCATGATTCATTGTTTGTGCATAACACCCAGTGCTCCACACAGACATGCCCTCTTTAATACCCATCACCAGGCTAACCCATCCCCCCACCCAATTTTTGGTATTTTCTTAACAGTTCTCTTGTCAGGGATGCCTGTGTGGCTTCGTTAAATGTCTAACTCTTGATTTTGATTCAGGTCATGATGTCAGGGTTGTGAGATCAAGCCCCACATTGGACTCCGCACTGGGCATGGAGCTTGCTTAAGATTCTTTCTCTCCCGATGATGGACTCTGAAAAACAAACTGAGGGTTCTAGAGGGTAGGGGGGTGGGGGGATGGGTTAGCCTGGTGATGGGTATTGAGGAGGGCACGTTTTGCATGGTGCACTGGGTGTTATGAACAAACAATGAATCATGGAACACTGCATCAAAAACTAATGATGTAATATATGGTGATTAACATAACAATAAAAAAATTAAAAAAAAAAAAGATTCTTTCTCTCCCTATGCCCCCGACCTCTAAAACAAATTAAAATAAGATAAACAAACCATTAACTTGTCAGAAATGAATCTCTTCCATAGAATAAAGCCCACAGGTACATTTTAAGGTACTTCTAAAGTGTTTTATTTTAACTGAATGATACAGTTCATATGTTTTATATTTAATTATTGAAAATATTAGGTATAAAAGTTCTTACAATTCAATTTAGTTTTTATGTTAGTATTTTCACTTGTATAACTCCATCATATTAAGTATCTTATGATTTCATTTTTTTGTCTTTGTAGTATATTCATTGCCTTCAAAGAAGCTAGTGGCTCTTCAGTTAAGATCCGTTTTTATTAAGGTTAGTATATTATATTTGTCTTTTTAAGATGATCAAAGTAAAATATGAGAAAATACTAAGTATTATTGAGAATTAAGATTCAAAACTCAATTTTGCTCTTTTTACTGTATATACAGTTAAGAAAAGTCTGGTTCTATAGAGAACCAATCTTATAAAATTTCAGAGGTGTTACCATTATTTCATGATTATATTGAATTGGGACATATAGGGTGGGTCTTATATATTCTCTTCAGGTAGCATTGGTGAAAACATTTAAGCTTAGGAATATTTTTGGTTTACTCCATTTGTATCACATTTCAACCAGTGGCATGTATATTTAGATTTTGTATGTGTCAAAATAAATTCTGAATCTAACTTCTTTCCTCTTCCACGGCTACCAACCACTATTGTTCAAACCACTGCCTTCTCTCACGCTCCTGATTTTGTTCTTGACCACCCACTCCCACAAATACCTAACAGTCTGTTTGCAAATAGCACCACCAATGATCCTTTAAACCTAAATCAAACACATCACTTATCTCTCCAAACCCTCTGGTGGCTTCCTGTTTGACTCCCACTAAACTCACAGCCTTGCCTTGGCTTATCCTGGTTCTACCTCTGTCCTGGTATGGTACCCACTAGCCACATGTAGCTATTTAAATTTGGATTCATAAACTAAAAGTAAATAAAATTAAAAATTAGTTCCTCCTTCCCACTAGCCACATTTGAAGTTCTCCATAGTCACGTGGCAAGCAGCTGCCATAAAGAGCACTTCCATTATCACAGAGCATTCTCTTGGGCAGCTGCTCTGCCTAATCTAACTCCGAGCCATTCCTGTGTGCTCATTGCCTGTTTCCCTCTCTCACTCCCCCTACTTGAGCCACACTGGCCTCTCTGTTGTTCAGACAGATTAAACTAACTCCTGTCTCGGAGTCTTTACATTATTTTCCCTGCCTGGAGTACTTTTCCCCTAGATACCTAAATGGCTCATTTCCTTCAGTCCTTGCTTAAATGTTACCTCATCAGAAATGCCTTCCCTGACCACCCTTTCTATTGTCTTATCCTGGGGTGGTTTTCTTCACAGCTCCTCACTACTTGGCGTATCATGTATTTGTTTATCATCTACAACTAGTATAAAGTAAGTTTTCTGAGAGAAGTGATAATGTGTCATTCACTCTTTTATCCCCAACTTCTAGAACAGTGCCTAGCATGTAGAGAAGCACTTGGTAAATATTGGTTAAGTGGGTTAAGTACCAGCTGTTCGGGAAGTCAGAAATATGTCAGCATTCCATAGGCTCTCCCCCATGCCCTATCCTAGTTATTATATTGTGTAAATGGAATCTTATGGTATGTACTTTATGTCTAGCTTCCTTTACTAAACCTTCTATTTGTGAGATCTGTCCATGTTGTTCCAAGGAGAGGTATTTCGTTCATTCTCCACCTCTGTGGGATTCTCTTATATAAACAAATGATAATTTATCCATTGTACTGTTAATGGAACATTAGATTTTTTCCAGTTTGAGATGACTGTGAATAATGCTATGATTATTTTAATATTTATATTAGAATCACTCTTTACTTTTTTTAGTTAATAATATACTCAAAATTTTGCAGTGAGAGTTGCTAATATTTCTACATTATGGCATGCATGTGGCTTTACTGTTCTCCTCTTAATACTTGGGTAAGTTCAAGAATTAAGATAGGCAAAAAAAAAAAATGCCTAATGAAATATTTGGTAGGTGGAAATAGTGACTTCAAACTAGCAAATATTTATTGAACATGGATTTTTGCACCAATATGGCTATGAGTAATAAATATATACACACATACATACACATACATATATATACATAAATATATACATATATACACACGTATATATATGCCACACACACACACCTATAATCAACAATCTGATAAAGTAGGTACTAACATTATCCTCATTTTACAAATGAGGAAAACTGGAACACAGAAAGATTAAGCAATTTCCCTGAGACACACGGTCTGTGTAGGAGGTAGAGCCAGCATTCTAGACCAGGCAGCTTGACTCCAGAGCCTGCCTCTCTTAATCATACTCTACTACCTTCCTATTTTAAAAGCTAGCTATTTCTTATCTGCATTTTAAATTCTATTGAATAATTTTATTAATAGTCTGTGAAGTTTCCATGAAGTGAGTTTCTCCCCCCAAAATTTCATAACCCACTTTCCAGATTAAACAGCTGTTAACATTTTGCCACACCTGCTTGATCTACTCTCTTTGCGTGTGCATGCACAGTTTCCTTCTGCCAAAGATTCCAAAAGTAGGCTACTGATGTCATGATATTTTACCTGTAAATACTTCAGCATGAATCTTTCAAGAATAAGGATATTCTCCTTCACAATCACAGCAGCATTATCTAAGAAAATCAGCATTTAATGAATTACATAGTAGTATCATGAGACATACTCAAATTTCCCCAGTTGTCCCTAAAATATTCTTTTTTTAATTTTATTTTTTTATGTTAATCACCATACATTACATCATTAGTTTTTGATGTAGTGTTCCATGATTCATTGTTTGCATGTAACACCCAGTGCTCCATGCAGAACATGCCCTCTTTAATACCCATCACCAGGCTAACCCATCCCCCCACCCCCTCCCCTCTAGAACCCTCAGCTTGTTTCTCAGAATCCATAGTCTCTCATGGTTCGTCTCCCCCTCCGATTTCCCCCCCTTCATTTCTCCCTTCCTACTGTCTTTTTTTTTTTTTTTTTTTAACATATAATGTATTATTTGTTTCAGGGGTACAGGTCTGTGATTCATCAGTCGTACACAATTCACAGCACTCAACATAGCACATACCCTCCCCAATGTCTATCACCCAGCCACCCCATCCCTCCCACCCCTACCACTCCAGCAACGCTGTTTGTTTCCTGAGATTAAGAATTCCTCATATCAGTGAGATCATATGATACTTTTCTTTCTCTGATTATTTCGCTCAGCATAATACCTTCCAGTTCCATCCACGTCATTGCAAATGGCAAGATTTCATGGGTTTTTTGATAGCTGCATAATATTCCATTGTGTATATATACCACATCTTCTTTATCCATTCATCTGCTGATGGACATCTTGGCTCTTCCCATAGTTTGGCTATTGTGAACATTGCTGCTATAAACATTGGGGTGCACATACCCCTTCGGATCGCTACATTTGTATCTTTGGGGTAAATACCCAGTAGTGCAATTGCTCAGTCGTAGGGTAGCTCTATTTTCAACTTTTTGAGGAACCTCCATACTGTTTTCCAGGGTGGCTGCATAATATATTCTTCAGTTCTGGATCCAATCAAGTTTCACATGTTACATTTGACTATAATATCTTTTTACTTGGTAGCTATTGATGTAGAAGTGGCCTCCTCCTCTTTCTGTTCTTCACAATATTGACTCCTTTGAGGATTAGTGCCAGATGTTCAGCATCCTAGGTTCACCTAATTATTTCCTGGTCATGTTCAGATCAGAAATTTCTAGCAAGAACATCTCCTAGATATCCATGTGATAGTTTTTAAGTAATGATAGATTACTTAGAGAACTGGGAAATTTTCCCTTGTCAGTCAGAATTTTTTTGAAATCTAGATTCCTCACGATTTATTTCTTAATTGTAAAGATACAATAAAAAATTCCTTGCTCTTCATCCCTCATCTTCACTTTAAGGACAGTAAATGGATCTAAAAATAATTATGATTTTATGTAAGGTCGATAAAATATTTCATAGAATACTCTTATTATATGCTAAGATCTAACTTTTAGACTTTCTTTTTATTCTTTCAATGGTATACAAAGTATAAATCAAAGCCATTCTGTGAAAAACTGCTTTCCTGGGTGAAAAGTAGTAACTGTGCCAAAGTTATTGTTCTTTCAAGCAGTCATTCATATCACCGTAATGATCTACAGCTTCGCAGGTATGTTTTTGCCTTTGAAAAATTTTGTTATGATTTACACAGTATTATGATGGTATCTCTGTTAAAAAGCTAAAATAAGTTTTAAAAGCCATGTATATCTTTGCCTCCCCTCTCTGGAATTTAGAAAGAAGATAAAGTCAAGAGACAGGAGGGAGTATGGTTAGGTAGTCCTATGGTTGGGGCACAAGGAAGGCTTTGGTGTGAAGATAGAGATGTTTCTGGAACTGTGCTTCAATTGGTATTGTGTGTGGCGACATCACAGAGCCTAGGTGATGAAGAGAAAGAGAGAGGGTACCTAAGATTCATCAGATGATAATTTTTTGGAAGATTGGATTCACATTTCTATTTACTTCTATTTAGTTAGCCATCAGAGAAATCCATTTGCCTTTAAGTATAACTCCCAGGCATGTCAGACTGAATTCCTAAATAGTAGGCAAAACATCCAAGAGATAGAAATATAAACTATTTATTTCATTATCATTTATGCACCAAAAAGTCATGATGAAGAAACATTAGCCAAGACTAACCTTTCAAAATTGGAGCTAATTTTTAGTAATCTCACAAATAGATCTAACATGTCTAGGAATCTCACAAAAGGCCTCATGGCCAGAAGGGAGCATAGCTGTGGGAAATAGGTTATCTCCATGATGGCCTTGCCTTAGTTTAAGTTGGCCTGTGTCTTTATACTGTCCCCTAAGTATGTAAATAGCAAGCCAGAGTAATATTTTTACATGTTATTCCATAGACTGCTGAAACTTGTGCTTTGCTTTAGCAACAGAATATAGAGAGAACAAACATTTGCTTTAAAAACTTGCCTTAATGTTCTTATTTATTGTGGGTTTTTAGAAAGTTAATTATATGATTGCTTCTAGTACTCCCTTCAGATACCTACTCACACCTTCTGTGCAAAAAAGTGTTCAAACTAAAATAATGAGCCTTAACTGGGAAGAAATGGAAAAAAGCCCATGCATTCCTGAAATAGATGATTCTGAGTTTTGTATTCGTATTCCTGGAGGAGGTATCACAAAAACAGTCTATGATGAAGGGTGAGTTTGTTTGTCTGTTTGTTCATTTGTTCTCCACCTTATTTAAAAATAAAAGTAAGAGGGTGCCTGGCTGGCTCATTCAGAAGGGCATGCGACTCTTGATCTCAGGGTAATGTGAGTTTAAGCACCACATTGGGCATGGAGCCTACTTCTTTAAAAAATAGTGGAAAGTATGATAAGTGAAGATAAGACTTGAAATTTAGTCTTAGGAACATTGGTTCCTAAAAAACCATATTTAACGCTTTATAATGTGCAGCATGTTAAGGATCCTGATACTCTATGCAACCGCTACAATCAATCTTTTTTTTAATTATGGTAAAATATATGAAACATTAATGTAACCATTCTTAAGTGTACAATTAATTACTGTTAATGAGTTCACAGTGTTGTATACCAGTCACCAACTATCTGCTTTCAGAACTTTGTCATTGTTCTAAACAGAGAATCTGTATTTATTCAATAATAACTCCTATTTAGTTCTGCAAAATCCATACTAATGTCCTCGCCTTCATTTCTGATTTTAGTAGTTTGAGTCTTTTTTTATTCTCAGTTCTGTTGATCTTTTCAAATAACCAACTTTTGGTTTTATTGATTTTTCTCTCTTGTTTTACTGTTCTCTATTTTATTTATCTCTAATCTTCATTATTTCCTTCCTTCTGCTAACTCCAGATTTAGTTTGCCTTTATTTTTGTAGTTCCTAAGTGTAAACTTAGGTTATTAATCTGTGAAATTTCTTCTTTTTTAAAATATGCATTTGTAGCTCTAACTTTCCCTCTAAAACTGCCTTAGCTGCATCTCTTAAGTTTAGCATGTTGTGTTTTCATTTTCATTCACCCCTAAATTTTCTAATTTACCTTGTGATTTCTTCTTTGACCCATTAGTTGTTTGAAACTGTGTTGTTTAATTTCCACATGTTTGTGAATTTTCCAGTTTTCCTTCCATTACTGATTTCTAGTATCATTCTTTTGTGATTGAAAAAGACACTTTGTATGATTTTAATCTTTTTCATTTATCAGGTCTTATTTTGTGCCCTACCAAAGGTCTGTCCTGGAGAACGGTCCATACGCACTTGAGAAAAATGTGTATCTGTTTTTGTTGAGTGGGGTGTTCTGTAGATATCTGTTAGGTCTAATTGGTAATTCTGTTTCCTTCTCAGTCTTTTCCATCCATTATTGAATGTAGGCTGTTGAAGTCTCCCAACTATTATTATAGCACCGTGTCTAGTTCTCCCTTCAATGCTGTCAATGTTTGCTTCATATATTTTGGGGCTCTTGTTTTGTGAATATCTTTATATTTGTTATGTCTTCTTGGTGAATTGGCCCTTTTATCAATATATAATAGCCTTCTTGGTCTTTCATAACAGTTTTTGACTTGAAGTCTATTTTGTCATATTTGCCATCCTGCTCTCTTGGTTACTTTTATATGGAATATCTTTTTCCATCTTTTCACTTTCAAACTGTGTGTGTCCTTATATTCAAAGTAAGTCTCTTATAGATAGTACATAATTGGATCATGTTTTTAATCCATTTTGCCAATCTCTTTTGATTAGAGAGTTTAATCCATTTGCATTAAAAGTAATTACTGATGAAGGACTTGTCATTTTGCTATTTGTTTTCTATATATCTTACAGCTTTTTTGTTCTTCATTTCCTCCTTTACTGCCTTCTTTTGTGCTTGGTTGATTTTTTATAGTGACATCTTTTGATTGTCTTCACATTTTCTTTTGTGTATATCCTATAGATACTTGCTTTGTGGTTTCCATGGTGATCGCATGTAACATTCTAAAATTATAACAGTCTAATTTGAGTTGATACCAATTTCACTTCAGTTGCACACAAAAACTACTCCCATGCACACTGCCTCCCCCAACCCATTATGATTTTGTTGTCACAAATTATATCTTTCTATATTGTGTGCCCAATAACAGATTTATAGTTATTTGGGGGCATTTTTCTTTTAAATACTCTACAGTCACTCTTGATTAGTCTTTGGGAATCATGAACTTTCAGAAGGCAAGTGAAAGTAAAGGTGGAAATTAGAAAGAGATTTTTTTTTCTTTTAGCCCCTTTTTGTAAATTGATTTATATGACTTATGTGATGGCCCAGCCTGCCATCAGATTTGTAGACATTTACACTGTCCCCATTTTTGCCTGCCCTTAGCTTCCTGTCTCATACGACCAGAGGCTAAGTCTGGGGCTAAACAGTACGCCTTGCTGTATGCTTCAACTGGCTCTGACTCTTCCTTCTTGCCAGGAGTTGATGTGCCTGGTGGGTTCATGGAAGACAGAGCCGACGGTTATGAAAAGGGGGAGGGGCAGCATTTAGAGGGTGGCATCTGCTGCTTCTCAGGCTCATATAGTCTACTCCCTGCTCTCCCATGAGGAGAGATGAGTAAGGAGCATCTTGTGCCGCCAGTGGTGGCTTTAGAGAATTGGGCAGAGCTAACCGAGAAAAAATTTAAATATGTCCCCGCCGTCATTGCTCACAGTCAACCAATAAATCTGCTTCCTCAACATAATACATTTCAAGAGTGTCAACCTAGCCTTGCCAAACAGAATGACTGGTTTGCTTGCTCTAAAATCTACATTGTGACTTCTGCATGACCCGAAGAAGTCATAATAGAAATATAAATAGTAGTCATGGTAATAGCAAATTAAGTGCCTGGTACTGCTCTCTGCACTTTACATGTATTAAATTATTTAATTCTCTTAATAAGCTCATAGGTATGTATTACTGTTAACTACATGTTATAAATAAGAAAATTGAAGAGCAACAAGATGAAATAACTGCTAAAAGCCATGTGGGTAATCTGGCAGAGCCAGGGTTCAAACCTAGGCACCTGGCCCCAAATCCTGCACTTTTAACCACTTCATTCTAGAGCTAGGATTCATGGTTCAGGATCACAGTGAGTTTTATTCTCTGTCTAAAAGGTGAACTTGTTTCTTGTTATTTGTAATTATTTTTGCCCCTCCTTCTTTCCAAAATATTCAAGCCTTCTCTGTGAGAAAGGATACAGGCATTTCAGCTTGTTTTCCCAGTACAGCTTGTTTTTTCTGTCTCTGGCCGTACTTGTGTACCATTTCAGCTTTCTCTTTTTCCCTGAAAACCTACTCTGGTCCTATTAAAACCATCATTTCTTCCCATTTTTCTTTTTTTTTCTTAGTCTGTCATTTGTGTTTTTAGTTTTTTTCCTATCTAGTTTATTCCCCATAATATAAAATATCACTTCAGCTATTCTTTTGGTGGAAGCCCTGGCTACCTAATCATTCTCTGCACCTTCCCTACAGACCACCAGCTTTCAGTCCTTCTCGTGCTTCATTCAGGCCACATCATTTATAGCCTAGACTGCTGTTAGTCTGATTGGACTGCCATAACAAAATACTGTCCGCAGGGTGACTTAAACAAAGAAATGTATTTATTCACAGTTCTGCAGGCTAGAAGTCTGAAATCAGGAAGCCAGCATGGTTGGGTTCTGGTGAGGCCCCCCCTTCCAGGCTTGCAGATGGCTACCTTCTGGCCATATCCTCACATGGCAGAGAGAGACCTCTCTTTCCTTCTCTCCTTACAAGGCCACAGTCCTGTCAGATTAGGGCCTCTGTCTTATGACTTGGTTTAATCTTAATTACCTGCAGAGATCCTATCATCAGATATAGTCACATTGGGGGTTAGGGCTTCAATTTTGGAGGGACATGGGTTTGGTCTATAGCAGCTGCTCTCAAGATCTTTTGATTGATTCCCCCTGCCTCCTCCATTCTCACTCACTCTGCTCCAGCTTGAGTGTTGCTCGAATTAAAATTCAAAACTGATCACAACATCCCCTGAGTAAAGTCCATCAGCAGTTTTACTTGCTGTGTGCAGAATCTGGTTCATACTCCTTAAGGTGCCATACAAGGCCCTGCCGGATTTCCTTGCCTCGCTCATTCCTTGGTGCCCTGGACTCCAGCTAAACGACTAGCAGTCAGTTTCCTAAAAGCTGTCTCCTTCTTCCTCCCCTTGTCCCATGTACTTTTCTCCTCTTATCTACCTTGCAAAAACGAACCCAGTTTCCAGGAGTCACCTCACAGCACTCCTTGTGTCCTGACTTGCTTCTCCCTTCTGCACAAGGAATTTACTACTCTCTGCATTCCCACAGCTCACTGCTCCTTCACACCGACTTCTTAGTTCTTTACAAATCAGTTTACTTTTGCTTTGGATTTTGTTAGAGTAATGATAGCAGACTTGCCATCTTGCCATCAACAACTGCAAATTGGACAAAATTAATGAAACAACTTTTTCAGACATTGGATAGCAAAACAGCACACAGTTGTGATTCCTGAGAGAAGGCAAATAAGTCCTACAATTGCCCCAGCTTTCTGCTTGCAGATACTTTGTGGACTACAACACAAGGGGAGGGAACCGGAGGAGAGCGGTCTTGCTAAGTTGAGAAGACAGATACCATGGTTGGGGAATGCTAGGACACCTGAAATGAACAAGGCAGAGGACCAGAGAAGGGCTATTCAAGAAGAGCCTTAGGGGGTCTCCCTGAGTCTTTGTCAGAATTCTGAGCCACACATGTGTAGGGTAAAACTCCATGAGACCAAAAGAATAACTTCTGGGTAGCTGTAAACTTGCTCACAGAGTTAACAATGATAGCAAAATATTATAAAAGTTAGACGTACTTATCATAGAACATTTGGAAAATGTAGAATAGTCCAAAGAAATAATACTTTACAATACTCAGTTCTGTCACCCAGAGGTAACTACCACTACTAATTTTTCATTTGTTCTCTTCTCAGCTCCTTTAAAATACATTTCAGTTGAATGTGTGTACCTGCAAGATGCATCAACTCTAATTTAAACTTTAGAATTCATCTTATTTAAAAATGTTTCTCACAAAATCAGTTTTCTTTTAATTTTCTAATGCAAATCTTTTTGTTTATAATCAAACCCATGTTTAATGTTCAGTGCAATTATATTCACTTCAATAAAGAATTTTTGAAATTGAGAAAAACATTTTTGCTAAATTTTTTGTAACATATATTTTGCCTTCCCATTATGAGAACAAATATATATTCTGATCTCTGGAAAAGATAATATTAGTTACTCTAATGATAAGTGGTGGCAGTGGTGTGGCTGGCCTGAAATCCCTTATACTTAATTGGAATCAAAGTACATTTATAATTTAATAATGGATATATCTCATGTGCTAGATTTTAATGTCACAGAAAGTAATATAATTAGCCACTCTCCACTTTCCATTTTTACAGAGAGCACCAGAGGATGCTATTAAAACTCTTAATGCTACTCTTCATGTTACAAACTAGTAGTGGAGGCACTGTAAATTCAAGACATACCCCTGCATTTTTTAACCTAGAGGCTTGAAAATAAAGGCACACCCAGGGAAGCTAGCCTCCTCTAGGCAGGAGCCATTTCTAAGGCTACCATAGCATGAATGTTTAGGAACTAGAATCTTCTGAGTCATCACGGCTCATAGTGCTACCATACAAAGCTTGAGAGCCCCTAAGATACTCGAGAATTACATGGTGAGATGATGTAACTAGTGCTAACAACTTCCGATTTCTAATATTTACTTTAGAGAGGGAGCATGCAAGCAGGAGTGGGGGGCAGAGGAAAAGGGAGAGAGAGAATACCAAGCAGACTCCACCTCAGTGTGGAGCCCAGTGAGAGGCTGAATCTCACGACCCTGAGATCATGACCTGAACTGAAATCAAGAGTTGGACACTCAGCCACCTGAGCTACGCAGGCACCTGGACCAATTTCTGATATATAGAGACTGAGATGCTATGGTAGGCTCTCCTGGTACATCTGAGACTTCTGAACCTACCTCTCAGAGTCTTCTCCACGTCTAAAATCCCTTGCTTAGAAAACCAACCCACCTTTATTTCTGTAGCTCTCTGTCAGTCACGTGCTCTCAAGTTTTGGCATGAAATTTTTCTCATACTTCTTGGTTTTAGGATATTAGAAATAATTTTTGCTTTTGTTGGCAAACAGGAAGCTTTTTGCATTGACTTATCTCCATCTCATCACTAGCTTGAGGCATTTATAGCATACTGTTAAGAGACTTTTGGAGTCTGAAAGACCTGGGTTTAAGTCCCACCTTTGCCACTTCATAGATATAGAACTTTGAGTATGTTAACTACACTTCAAACCCTTTAAACTTCAGTTACTTCATCATTATAGCTAGCACATACATAGTATTGACTATATGTTGGGCACTGTTTTAACCACTTTGCCTCTTCTGCCTCCTTTACACCTCCCAACAACCTGTGAGGTAAGTTCTGTTGTGCTCCCTCTTTTACAAATGAGACACACTGAAGCTCTAAGTAACTTGCCCAACATGTCTGGTAAGTGGCAGAGCTAGAATTTGAATCCAGGCATTCTGTCCATGTTCTATTCCAAATTGATTCAGTTTTAAAATGGAGATAATTATAATGTCCTCAAGAATTGTAGGGATTGAACGATAAAATATGCAGATAGTGCTTAGCACATAATAAATCACTCAGTAGGTGGAATCTGTAAGAAGTAGTATAGTAAAGGGGCACCTGGGTGGCTCAGTCAGTTAAGTGTCTGTCTGCGACTCAGGCCTTGATCCTGGGGTCCTGGGATCCAGCCCCATGTCGGGCTCCCTGCTCAGTGGGGGGCCTCCTTCTCCCTCTCCCTGCACTCCTGCTTATGCTCTCTCTTGCTATCTCTCTCTCTCTCTAATAAATAAATAAATATCTTTTTTAAAAAAAGTAATAGTACAGTTTTCCCTTTATCAATTCCACAGTTTTCCTTCACTGTTTTAGGTTATTAGTAACAAGGGTGTTATTTTCTTTCAGTCTCTTTGCTATGGTGCTTCTGAAAATCACTATCTTCTACAGCAGATTTGGGAAGTAGAACATATTTCAGTGGGGATGGTTTTTCATGCAGCCTTGGATGAGACGCAAACTTGCATATGCCCAGAGTGGGCATTACGTGGCTTCTAGTCCTGTCCCCACAAGTAGCATATATCTGGAGCAAAGGGGGATAAATAAGTGAGCTTATTATGTGGCATCTTCTCCTTTCCTAAAACCTGGCAGATTGTCTTAGCTATAAAAACAAACACAGATAGAATCAGCATCTTGTATCAATAGAAGAATACTTAATTATTCTCTGTATTTGTTGTAGCTGTTCTAAAGAAATCCCAATGATGGTTCTGCTGAAATTTGTTTCAGAAGGAGACAATATCCCAGATGCATTAGGTCTTGTTGAGTATCTTAATGAATGGCTTCAGATAATCAAACCATGTGTAAGTGTTACTATACTTTAAGCCTCTGATTTCTCTGGTTATGTATTTATAAACTTGCATTTTTTATTCTATATAAGTAGACCAAATAAGTGAAAGTTTGTTAAGTATAGATACATCTTTATATAAAATTTAGAGTTCAGTTGAGCTTTTGAAAAGAAAAGAGGGCATTTAACCAACCAGTTGTCTACAGTTGTTTCATTGACTGATTTTCCAGAAAGGAAAACCATAAGTACTTCATTATATTAATTGTTCATGTTGCATTAATTATACCAGACATATTCTTAGAAAAATAAACAAATTTCTTTAGAATTCAGGACTTTTTTTAAGGAAAGCAAAACCTATTTATGTGAGCAATACTATAACTATTGAATGTGCCTTATAATTAAAATACTTTTCTGTATTATGAGGTAAAAGCATTACACCCAGGGAAATCAGTTAACTTTTAGTCATAATAGAAGTACCATCATGATATGATAGGTACTGTCTTTTTAATTCATGCTTTTGCTAGGAACAAATTGATAAAAATCACACAGCACTGATTTTTATTATTATTATTATTATTATTATTACTTAAACCCTGTTCCTTTCAAATATGATTTTACTTGATGGACTCCATAGCCTTCTGGCATAATTTTATGATTTGGAACTTAAGGAAATTTATCTTCAATTAACATAGAGACAGATTTATTGCTTTGTTTTTCCTTAGAGTAAAACTCAGCTAAAAATGTCAAACCCAAAAAGAGCAAAAACAAACAAAAAACTAGAGAAGGGCGAGTTTTATGCGACTTAAATGCTAAAAGGAGATTTGGTCATAAAATTGAAGGATTAAAGTATTTTGTTCTTCACTTACAGGGTGATGACCCCACAGCATCTGCCTTGAAGTGGAAAATGCCAAGTTCATGGAGATTACTTTTTGGTAGTGGTCTACCCCCTGCGCTTTTTTGATCTTTTCTCAGTTTTATACCTTATGTCCCAAGACACTTATTACCAACACAACTGTTAAAGAACTATATAAAAAGTTATATTATCTGAGAATGTATTAGAAAATAAATCTTTACTTTTCACAAAAAATCTCAAAATGGATTAACAAATGTTCTTTTGCCATGCTTTTCACTGTATTCAAAAAATGTAAATTTTGTACAATAAAATATTTCCGAAGTAATTTTGTCTGAAATGTGTCTTTTTTTTTAACTCAGACTTCTGTATTAGTTTCCTGTTTCTGCTGTAATAAATTACCACAAACTTAGTGGTTAAAACAACACAATTTATTATCCTGCAGTTCTGGAAGTCAGAAGTCCAAAAATAGTAGAAGAATACTTAATTATTCTCTGTATTTATAGTAGCTATTCTAAAGAAATCCCAGTGGTGGTTCTGCTGAAATTTGTTTCAGATGAGACAATATCCCAGATGCATTAGGTCTTGTTGAGGATCATTTTTTTTTTTAAGATTTATTTATTTATTTTAGAGAGTGAGTGAGGGGAGGGACAGAGGGTGAGGGAAAGGGAGACTCCTCAAGCAGACTCCCAGCTGAGCACAGAGCCCGATGCAGGCCTTAATCCCAGGACCCTGAGATCATGACCTGAGCCAAAATAAAGAGCTGGCCATTTAACCAACCGAGCCACCCAAGTGCCCCTGGTCTTCTTGAGCATCTTGAAGAATGGCTTCAGATAATCCATTGGGCTAAAATAAAATCTCCAGAAACCAATACCAAGGAAATGGAAACCTACTGAAGCACAATGATTTACAAGGGTACAGACAACTAAATGAAATCAGAACAACAGTGAATGAACAAAATGAGAGAATATCAACAAAGAGAAAGAAATTAAAAACAGAACCATATAGAATTCTGAAAAATATACTAGAGGGGTTCAACAGCAGATTTGATCAAGCAGAAGAATCAGCAATTCTGATCATTGAAATTATCAAGTGAAAGGAATAAAAAAATAAGGAAAATGGAGCAAGCCTAAGGGACCTATAAAATAGCATAAAGTGGACCAATATATGCATTATGAGAGTCCCGGAAGGAGAAAAGAGCGAGAAAGAAACAAAACTTATTTGAAGAAGTAATGGCTGAAAATTTCCCTAATCTTAAGGAAGGAAATGGACATCCAAATTTTGAGCTGAAAGGACTCCAAATACAATGAACCCAAACAGCCCCACACCCAAGACTATAGTTAAGAAAAAAAAAACTCAAAAATAGAAGACAAAGAATCTTGAAGAGTATTAGGAGAAAAGCGACTCATCACATTCAAGTGAGCCCCCACAAGATAATGAATGAGTGGATATCTCAGCAGAAACCTTAAGAGTCCAGAAGGGAGTGGGATGTTATATTCAAAATGCTGAAACAAAAGACTGACCAATCAAGAATACTATCCAGAAAAAGTATTCTTCACAAATGAAGAAGAGATAGACTTTTGCAGATGAACAAAAGCTGAGGGAGTTCATCACCACTGGATGTGCCTTATAAGAAACACTAGAGAGAGTCCCACCCTTTGAAAAAAGGTGGTAGACAGCAACACGAAAGCATACAAAAATCTAAAACTGTAGTAAAAGTAAGTAGGCAAATGCAGAGTCCTTTATCACTGTCTGTAATGGTGGTGTGTAAAGTACTTTTAGTTCTGGTATAGACAATTAGAAGACAAAAGCATTAAAAATTATTATAAAACTATGTTAATAGATAATAAAGACATAGCTTGTGAATCAAAAAGGGGGGTAGCTGGAGAGATGTAAAAGAATAGAGTTTTTGTGGGGCACCTGGGTTAATCAAGTGCCTGATCCTTGGTTTTGGCTCAGGTCATGATGTCATGGTCATGAGATTGAGCCTGTGTCAGGCTTCATGCTTAGCGCAGAGTCTGCTTGAGATTCTTGCCCCCTTCCTTCTTCCCCCATGGCCCCTCCCCTCATTCATGCTCTCTCTCAAATAAAATCTTAAATAGAATTTTTGTATATGATTGAGATTAGGTTATCAGCATTAAAATAGATGGTTATAAAAAGATGTCTTATGTAACTCCTGCGGTAACCACAAAGAAACTGTTACTGAACCCAAGTTCAGCTGCCTGTTGCCTGAAAGATCATCACTCATGAGACAAGTTTTGATAGGAAAGGAATTTGAGCTTTATTCAGGAGGCCAGCAACCTGGGAAGAAAGCAGACTCTTGTCCAAAAGCCAACTCCGAGGTTTCTGCCTGGTCTGGGGACTTTAAAGGGGTTTAGGGTAGTTTATCAGTAAAGAGAGTGCAGCAGCCTGCAACATTTCTTGATTATGTGCAGACTTGTTTCCAACTACAAACATCTCAGTGCTCAGGGGTTGTGCGAGGAGGGGGTGCGGTTCTTTCTCGTGTTGTGTAGAAATCCTCTGTTCTTTCGGCAAGGTCTACAGATACACAAAGGGAGGTTAGTAAAATCATTTGTGTAGCCTAAAAGATAAAAACATTTTGCTAAAAAAATTTTGCTGGACTAATCAGAAAGCTGAGGTGGCTTCAAACAGACTTACTGGCCTCTGTGGCCTGGGAAAGTTCTGGTTCTTCACTCTTCAAGGCCAGTGGTCTACAAATCTCAAAGAAAGTAAATTAGTTCTGTTACAGATCAAGGGTCTTATGTCAGCAAGTAAGGAGTGTGTTAACTTGAAGCAACTTAACCCTAATGACTGAAGGGGGTGCTGTTACAAAAACACCCATAGAAGATACACAAAAGAAAATGGGGCGGGGGGGGGGGGGGGAATCAAAGCGTGTTAACACAAAAACATCAACGAAACACGAAGTCAACAAAAGGAAAAGAGGGACAAGAAAAAAAAACAAAATGGCAATAGTAAGTGCTATGGGATGTTCTGAATGTTTATGTCCCCCAAAATTTGTATGTTGAAATTCTAACCCCTTAGCTAGAAAAAAAGAAGACTCAACTAAAATCAGAGATGAAAGAAATTACAACTAATGCCATAGAAATACAATAGATTAGGGCGCCTGGGTGGCTCAGTTGGTTAAGCGACTTCCTTCAGCTCAGGTCATGATCCTGGAGTCCTGGGATCGAGTCCCGCATTGGGCTCCCTGCTCGGCAGGGAGTCTGCTTCTCCCTCTGACCCTCTTCCCTCTCGTGCTCTCTGTCTCTCATTCTCTCTCTCTCAAATAAATAAAATCTTTAAAAAAAAAAAAGAAATACAATAGATTATAAGAGAGTATTATGAAAAATTATATGCCAACAAATTGGATAACTTAAAAGAAGTGGATAAATTCCTAGAAACACACAATAGTAAGACTCAATAATGAAGAAACAGAAAATTCAAACACCTATAACTAGTAAGGAGGTTGAATTAATGATCAATTACTAATCAATAATTACTAATCAGTAATCAGTTACTAATTTAAAAACTTCCCAACAAAGAAAAGCCCAGAACCAGATGGCTTCATTGGAGTATTTTACCAAATATTTAAAGAATTAACACCAATCCTTCTCAAAGTCTTCCCAAAAATTGGGGCACCTGGGTGGCTCAGTTGGTTAGGTGGCTGACTTGATTTCAGCTGGAGTCGTGATCTCAGGGTCATGGGATCAGGCCTGCATCGGGGTCCACACTTGGTATGGATTCTGCTTGTGCCTCTCTCTGATCTTCCTGTCTCTCAAGAGGCATCTGGGTGGCTCAGTCATTGAACGTCTGCCTTCGGCTCAGGTCATGATCCCAGGGTCCTAGGATCAAGCCCCGCATTGGGCTCCTTGCTCAGCGGGAAGCCTACTTCTCCCTCTCCCACACCCCCTGCTTGTGTTCCTGCTCTCGCTGTGTCTCTCTCTATCAAATAAATGGATAAAATCTTAAAAAAAACCTCTTCCCAAAAATTGAAGAGGAGGGAATACATCCTAATACATTTATGAATCCAGCATTACTCTGATAGCAAAGTGCAAAATGCAGATCAAAATCCCTGAATAATGTCAATGCAAAACTCTTCAACAAAATACTAGTAAGCCAAATCAATAGCACTTTAAAAGGACTATACACATGAACAAGTAAGATTTATCCCTGGAATTCAAGGACGATTCGTCAAAAGAAAATCAATAAATATAGCTTTAACAGAAAGGCAAAAATCATATGATCATCTTGATAAAGAAAAAGCACTTGACAAAATTTAACATTCTTTCATGATAAAAACACTCAAGAAACTAGGAATAAAAGGAAAGTACCTAAACATAATAAAGGTCATATGTGAAAAGCCCACAGCTGACATCATACTCGATGGTGGAAAACTGAAAGCTTTTCTTCTAAGATCAGGAACAAGACAAGGATACTCTTGACACTTCTGTTCAACATACTCCTGGAGTCTTAGCCAGAGCAATTGGGAGACGAAGGAAGGAAGAGAAGGAGGGAGGGAGGAAAAGACATCCAAATTGGAAAGAGGGAAGTAAAGGTATTTGTTAGCAGATGACATGATTTTACATGTAGGAAACCCAAAAGATTCCACACAAAAACTGTTAGAACTGTTAAATTAATTCAGCAAAGTTCCAGGTTACAAAGCCAACACTCAAAAATCAGCTGCATTTCTATACACTAACAATGAACAATCTGAAAAGGAAATTAAGAAAACAATCCCATTTACATTACTATAAAAAAGAATAAAATACTAATAAACTTAACCAAAGAGGCAAAAGACTGAAGTGAAAACTCTAAAACATTGCTGACAGAAATTTAAAAAGACATATATAAATGGAAAGGCATCCTGTGTTCAGGGGTTGAAAGATTTAATATTATCAAAATGTCCATATTACCCAAACCAATCTTCAGATTCAATGCAATCCCTATCAAAATCCTAGTGGATTTTTGGGGACAAAAATCCCAAAATTCATATTGAATCTCAGAGGACTTCAAATAGCCAAGACAATCTTGAGAAAGAACAAAGTGGCGAACTCACACTTCATGATTTCAAAGCATATTACAAAGCTACAATAATCCAGAGAACAGTACTATCATAAAGGCAGACATATAGACCAACAGAACACAACAGAGAGCCCAGAAATAAGCACATACATGTATGACCCAATGATCTTCAATGAGGGCACAAGGACTACCCAGTGGGGAAAGAACAGTCTCTTCAACAAATGGTGTTGGGAAACTGGATATCCACATGCGAAAGAATAAGGATGGATCCTTACCGAGTACCATATACAAGAATTAACTCAAAATGGATTAAAGAAC